TCAAAGTGGCCTCAAATAGCCCGAAAACGAATGATTTCGGCGCCAAACGCAGCGTTTCACGTCGACCGATCACCGTCGCTGTGTTCCGTCGGGCGGTTCGACATCATAGAGCTCCTGCACGGCGATCTACACCGTCTCCGACGCCCACAAGGTGCCCGACACTCGCCGAAAGCGTCTCGGCCGAGAAGCGGCGAGTGGTCTCCGCGGCCATCTACGGCCGCGTCCGGGCCTCGGTCGAGGTTTGTGCGGCCTGCCCGTCCATCGACGGTCCCGACCGCCGCCGCGGGCGGCTGGACCGCGGCAGAGAGCGCCCCGGAGCGCCCCCAGGGGCTCAAATCAGCTCATTTTCACCTAAATTTACTCTTATATTGCTCTCGAGAGCCGCTTCGCGGCGCGCCTTGCTTTACAGTTCATGGCCTCGACGCGGGTGGGTCTCAGGCGAGTTCGGATGGTCCGCAGCGGCTGGATACACAGCGTGCAAGAGTAAATTTAGGTGAGAATGAGCTATTTTGAGCCCCTGGAGGCGCTCCAGGGCGCTCTCTGCCGCGGTCCAGCCGCCCGCGGCGGCGGTCGGGACCGTCGATGGACGGACAGGTCGCACAAACCTCGACCGAGGCCCGGACGCGGCCGTAGATGGCCGCGGAGACCACTCGCCGCTTCTCGGCCGAGACGCTTTCGGCGAGTGTCGGGCACCTTGTGGGCGTCGGAGACGGTGTAGATCGCCGTGCAGGAGCTCTATGATGTCGAACCGCCCGACGGAACACAGCGACGGTGATCGGTCGACGTGAAACGCTGCGTTTGGCGCCGAAATCATTCGTTTTCGGGCTATTTGAGGCCACTTTTGACCAGAACAACCTCTCGCACGCCGATTTCGCAACCCGGGGCGACTCCGACGCCTTCGCCCGCTCGTCACATATAGTCTACGCCTTCGACGACAGCCAGCCCGCCGCCAGCGCCCACAGGCGCACCGCGGCTCGCGTTTTCGGTCGAAGCGTTTCGGCGCCCGGCGGACATTCGCGAGCGGCCGGAATTTCGACGAAACATCAAAAACTGCGCAGCACCATCGTATAGCATCATGATAGGAAGCTCTGAGTGGTGGTTTCTTCCCATAGGTCCTCGATGCGCCGGAGCACGGCTGGATCGCCCAATTCCGGCACTTTTTCGACCGCCGTGCGCGCGCGCGCAGTCGGCTCTACGAGCGCCGGAAGGTCGCGCGCGGCCCTCCCATACGACCTAGACCGCGGGAACAATCGCTGCGCGGCCCGTGGGCACGCGCGCGTGGGCGCACTGGTCGCTGCCGAGGCCAAGTGGCCAGGCGATTCAGCGGTGCACATCGGGGTCCCGCCTCCACGGGCTTTTATTGCCACTAGCTCCTCGACTCGCGAGGTGGACGCAGGAGCAGCGCGCCAGCCGCCCGGAACCTCCCGCTCCGCGTCCAGGTCCGCCCTCCGCGCGTCGTCGCCGCCATGGGCCAGAAGAAGGGCGGCCGGGGCCGGGGCTCCGGGCGGCGCCACTTCGTCACGTCCGAGGAGGACCTCAAGAAGCGCAACGAGAACCAGGAGCGCTACAAGGCGACGCGCGCCGCGCGGCGCCAGGACGGCGAGGAGGTGAGCGACGACGACGACGAGAACGCGCGGAGCGACGACGACCTCGCGGAGCAGATGGACGCCATGCGCGCGGGGCTCAAGAGCGCGGAGGAGGACGACGCGTCGAAGAAGAAGAAGAAGCCCGTCATCGAGACGGCGAACCCGAACGCCGCCAAGGCGCACCAGAAGCACCAGAAGGCGTCGGCCGTCTCCGGCGACGGCCCGGCGCCCGAGCTCACGCGCCGCGAGCGCGAGGAGATCGAGAAGCAGCGCGCCGCCGCGGCCTACGCGAAGCGCCACGCCGAGGGCAAGACGGAAGAGGCGCAGCGCGACATGGAGCGGCTCCGCGAGGCCAAGAAGCGGCGCGAGGAGGCCGCGGCCAAGGTGAAGAAGGACTCCGCCGACGCCGAGAAGCAGAAGGCCCTCGCGGCCATGGAGGCGGAGGCGTCGAAGGCGTCGTCGTTCTTCGAGGTCGCGGACGGAGGCGCGCCCGAGGACGCGCCCAAGCTCGAGTCGCGCAAGGTCAAGGCCATGAAGCCCACGCAGCTCAAGGAGGAGCTCAAGCTCCGGGGGCTCTCGACCCAGGGCAACGCCAAGGAGCTCCAGAAGCGCCTCATCGACGCCGCGTGCTAGGGCGCGCGCCGTCGCCCTCTCTAACCACCACACGTTCGTCTTAGCGCCCCCGGTCGACGACGGGCGGCGGCCCCTCGCCGCTGCAGGTCGCGAGGCTCGCGTTGAAGCCGGGGACGCCGTGCGCGTCGTAGCCGAGGAGGCACAGGTCCGCGGCGTACGCGCACCGGACGTCGCGCGCGAGCCAGGGGTCCACGTCGCCGACGGCGACGCCCGTCTTCTCCGCCGCCCGGAGGCGCCGGTCCGCCCGCGCGAGGCGCCGCGGCAGGGCCGTCGTCCGGTTGTAGGCCCGCATGAGCGCCGCGAAGTCGTCCTTGAGGTTCTCGTGGCGGAGCGCGTGGTCGCACGTGCGCCGGCCGCGCGCGTCCCAGACGAACTCGTGCTGGGGCAGCAGGTGGCAGTCGAGGTCGCAGGAGTCGAGCTTCGGGAGCGTATCGCGGAGCCAGGCGTTCGCTTTCGCGGCGTCGAAGCGGTCGTCGAAGCGGCGGAACCTGGGCAGCAAAAGAGAGATTCAACGTCGCTTCAACGTGAGTGTTCCGCGCGCGCGCGTTCCGGAAAAAGCATCCGCGCTTCGAGACCGTTCCGAGAGATGATCGCTCGTCCAAAAATCAGCCGAAACGAGTGGAAAACGACCGAGATCGGAGCCTTTGAAGTTGGGAATTTCGCCCTCTTTTCCTGCCCTGGGCGGAACCGGAATTCCGAGAGGAGCCGCGCGAGGGGGTCGCGGACGACGCAGAAGGAGCGCTCGCCGCCGCCGAAGACGGTCGCCGCCCAGGGCCGGTGCCGCGGCGGCACGTGCCACGACGAGCACCGGCAGGACGCGCCGTCGCGCGAGAACGACACCTTCTTCTTCCTCTCGCGGTCCTCGAAGTGGGCGTCCGCGACGCCGATGCCCGTGCCCCCCGTCTTGGGCACGTGGATGAACCGGAGACCGAGGGCCGGGTCGGGCGCCGCGTCGCGGGCCGGGTTCGCCAGCTTGAGCACCGCGCAGCGCCAATCCGCGTCGACGCAGACCGTCGGATCCGCGGCGCTCCGCGCGGCGCACGGCACGCCGGGGTCGACAAGCGGCGCCATGAGCTGCATCTTCTGCACGCCGACGGCCAAGATGAAGAGCGGCACGAGCAGCGACGCCGCGAAGACGCGCGCGTGCTCGTTCGTCCAGCCCGTGGGCACCGGGTGGGGGTCCAGCGGGTCCCGCGCGAACTCGCGCGGCGGCAGCGGGCGGCTCATCGGTGTGCGGTTTGCGGCGCGGCGGCTCGTGGAGGGTTTGCGGGATGGCTAGAAGGTTTGCAGAAGCGCGCGCGCGTCTCTACTAGGGGCACGCAAAAGCGACGCCCATGCCTGGTGTGGCAAACTCGGCTTCACCGTCGCATCAACCAGCAAGCCGGCGACTTTTGAGCTAGATCGATCCCCTGGTCCGCCCCTGCGCCTTCTCGCCGGCGCCGCGAGACCCCGGTGCGCCGCGCCACGCGCGCCTAAGCGCTCTCGACTGCGCCTCCGTCGCCGGCGCGCACCCGCGAGACCCCGGCGCGCCGAAGCGAAAAGACACGAAACTCAAAGCATGGCCTGCATCGAGAAGCTCGCCATCCGCGGCATCCGGGCCTTCAGCCCCGAGCGCGAGGAGGCCATCGAGTTCCAGACGCCGCTGACGATGATCGTCGGCGCCAACGGCTGCGGCAAGACCACGGTCATCGAGTGCCTGAAGCGCGCGCCCGCGCCCCCGGAACCGCGCGACCGCGGAGACCCCGAAAACGCCCCGCAGGTACGGCACGACGGGCTGCGCGCCGCCCGGGTCGAACAGCGGCCGCGCCTTCGTCCACGACCCCAAGGTCTCCGGCGTCACGGAAGTCAAGGCGCAGCTGAAGCTGCGGTTCAAGAACTACGCGGGCCAGCGCATGGTCGTCGTGCGGTCCATGCAGCTCACGCAGCGCAAGACGACGGCGACCTTCAAGCAGATGGACGGCGTCATCCGCGCCAACGACGCCTCCGGCGAGCGCACGTCCTACACGCACAAGTGCGGCGAGCTCGACAAGACGGTGCCGATGCTCATCGGCGTGAGCAAGGCCGTGCTCGAGAGCGTCATCTTCTGCCACCAGGAGGAGAGCTCCTGGCCGTTGCAGGAGGGCGCCGTGCTCAAGAAGAAGTTCGATGACATCTTCGAGTCCGCGCGCTACTCGAAGGCGCTCGACGAGCTCCGGAAGCAGCGTTTGGCGAAGAACGCGCAGGTCAAGGAGCTCGTCGGCGACCTCAAGGGCCTCCAGGCCGACAAGGTCGCGGCGTCGGACCACCGCAAGCGCCTCGAGGCCGCCGAGGCTGCCGTCGCGGAGTGCGACGGGTTGATCGCGGAGTGCGACGAGAAGAGCGCCGCCGCGCACGCTGAGCTCGCGCAGATCAAAACTGAGAGACAGGCCATGGAGGCGCGCGAGGCCAAGATCGCCGCGGCCCAGAAGCTCGTCGACGACGCCGAGGCGAAGATCGCGTTCATGGTCGAGGGTCTAGGCGCCATGGGCGAGATGGACGAGACCGACGACGAGCTGGCCGCGGCGCAGCGGGAGCACGCGGCCGAGGAGGAGCGCTCCGACGCGGCGCTGGACGCGTTGAAGGAGTCGCTCGAGACCTGCGAGGCCGCGGCGGCGTCCCTGCGCGACGACGCGTCGAAGCTGGATGTGGCGGTAGGAGAGCAGGAGACGGAGAAGCGGCACGCGCTCGCGGCCGTCGGCGAGCTGCGCGACGCGCTCGAGGGCGCCCGGGCCGACCTCTCGGACCGCGACGCCATCCGGTCCCTCGACGCCGCGCTGAAGAGCGATGAGGCAATCCCGCTCGACGTCGCGGCGAAGGTCCGCGACGACTTAAAAGCGGCGGGCGACGCCGCGGCCGACGCGGAGCGCGCGTGCGAGGCCGACGCCGACGCCGCCGTCAAGGCCGCCCACGCCGCGGTCAACGAGAAGCAGGCGGCGCTCGACGCCGCGCGCCACGAGGTCGAGGCCCTCGGCCCGAAGAAGAAGGGCCTGGAGAAGCGCGTCGCCGCGAGCGACGACGCGCTGAAGGGCCTGCGGTCCGCGACGGAGGACGCCGTGGCCGCGGCGCGGGCGAAGCACGACGCCGCCAAGGAGAAGATCGCGAGCCACAAGGCGGCCATGGACGCCAAGGACTTCAAGGCCCAGATCCGCGCGTTGGACGAAAAAGAAACGAGCCTCGGGCGCGACATCGAGGAGGAGAACGAGGCCATGCGCGTCAACGAGGCGTCCGAGGACGAGGAGAAGGAGCTGCGCGTCCAGGAGCAGCTCGTCAAGTCGTCCGAGGAGCGCCTCGCGGAAAAGTGGGCCGCCGTCGAGGAGCTGCGGGCCGCGGCGGAGACGGCGCTCGAGCGGAGCGGCGACGACGACGTCGTGCCCGCGGCGCCGGACCGCTCTTCCGCGTCCCCCGCGGACGTCCACGCCTTCTCGAAGAAGGTGCGGCGCCTCCTCGAGGGCGCCCGGGACCGCGCGGAGAAGGCCGCGAAGGAGCAGGCGTCCGAGGCCGCGTCGACGGCGGCGGACGCGCGCGCGGCCGCGGACGCCAAGGCCAAGGCCGAGACGGCCCTGGAGGCCTGCGGCGCGGCCCTCGACACGCTCGTCGCCGACGCCGGCAGCTCCGCGCGCGACCGCCTCGCGAAGCTCCGCGACAAGGCCGAGGCGTTCCGCCTGTCGACGGTCCGCGACTACCCGGACGCGGACGAGTTCGAGGCCTACGGCGCCGCCGCGGCCCGCGCGGCCGTCGACGGCGCCGCCGTGCTCGCGGGCGACGACGACGCGGCGGCCCAGGCATTGGCCGTAGGCCCGCGCGACGCCGGCGACGACGACGCGCTGGCCGCGACGCAGAAATGGGTCGCGGCGCACGTCGCCAAGCTCACGGCCAAGAAGTACGAGGAGACGAGCCTCAACAGTTTCAGCGGCAAGCTACTGGAGAAGATGCGCAAGGTCAAGGCGGGCAAGTGCCCCAAGTGCGTCATCTGCCGGCGCGAGTTCGACGGCCCCGACGACGCGACGTACAAGGAGACGATCGCGCGCCTCGAGGACCAGGCCAGCGACCTGAAAGAGAAGGAGTTCGACCTGAAGATCGACGCGGCCAAGGATTTGGGGTCCCAGCTCGCGGACCTCGACACGCCCTGGCGCCGCTGGGTGTCCGCGGTGGGCGACCGCGTCGCCGCCAAGGCCGCGGACGACGACGCCAAGGCCGCGGCCGCGGACGCCCAGACCGCCGCGGACGCCGCCAAGTCCGCGTCCGACGACGCGGCCGAGGCCTTCGCCGCCGTCAAGAGCGCCTTCCTCGACGCCGACGATTTAGCGGAAGCCGCGGGCGACCTCAAGGCGCAAACCGAAACGCTCGACGCGAAGCGGTCCAACTACGAGGCGATGAGCGGCGGTCAAAGCGGCCGGTCGACGCGCGACATCCTCGAGCAGCTCCAGCGGCTCAACGACGAGAAGAACGCCGCGGTGACCGCCAAGGCGAAGCTCGAGAAGGAGAACGCGACGAGTTTGAAGGAGGAGACCGCGCTCGTGACGCGGCTGGGCAACGTCCGCGAGGAGCTCGCGAACTTGGAGCGCGACGTCGAGGCGCGCACGCGCCACGAGGGCGACCGCGCCGACGCCGCCAAGGAGCTCAAGGACCTCGAGGCGGCCTGCAAGGAGCTGCAGAAGGGCGACGCGAAGCGGAAAGAAGCTTTGGACGACGCCGCCGAGGCCGCGGCGGACGCGGAGGCCGACGCGGCCCGGAAGAAGAAGGCCGCGCGGTCCCTCACCAACGGCAAGAAGGCGAGCTTCCAGGAGGTCCAGGCCGCCGTCGACGCCGGGGCCCGGGGCGCCGAGCGCGCCGCGGGCGCGGACGAGACGCTCGCCGCGCTCGCGGCCGACCGCGAAACCCTCGAGACGCGCGTCGCCGACGCCGACGCGGAGGCGAAGCGCGCCGCGGCGGCCATCGGCGACCACGCGTCGGGCAACGCGAGCCGCCAGGCCATGAAGAAGGCCATCGACGACAACGTGAATTTGCGGTCCGCGCGGTCCGCGCGCGCGGCCGCGGCGTCCGACGTCGCGGACCTCGAGGACGACCGGTCCGGCGACGCCGCGCGGCGCAAGGAGCTCGCGGCGCGCCACGACAAGCTCGCGCGCGACCTCAACCGCCTCGTGAGCCGCCGCGGCGAGTACGTCGGCCGCCGGTCGTCGGAGGCGTCCGTCGCCAAGGAGCACGCGGGCGACCTCAAGGGCGCGCGCTACAAGGGCGTCGAGGAGAAGCACCGCAAGGCCCTCATCAACAAGGAGACGACGGAGATGGCCGCCAAGGACCTCGAGCACTACTGGGGCGCGCTCGACAAGGCGCTCAGCAACTACCACTCGCTCAAGATCGAGGAGATCAACCGCATCGTCCGCGAGCTCTGGCAGATCACCTACATGGGCGAGGACATCGACTCCATCGAGATCGTCTCCGGCGAGGACGCGGGCAGCAACCGCGCCGCGCGGTCCTACAACTACCACGTGCAGATGCGCAAGGCCCAGGGCAGGAAAAGGGTGATTCAACTTCGCTTCAACGTGAGTGTTCCGCGCGCGCGCGTTTCGGAAACAGCACCCACGCTTCGAGAGCGCTCCGAGAGATGATCGCTCGTCCAAAAATCAGCCGAAAGGAGTGGAAAACGGCCGAGATAGGAGCCTTTGAAGTTGGGAATTTCGCACCCTTTTCCTGCCCAGGCAAGGCCGGCGCCGCGCTCGACATGAAGGGCCGCTGCTCCGCGGGCCAGCGCGTCCTGGCGTCCATCGTCATCCGCCTGGCCCTGGCCCAGACCTTCTGCATCAAGTGCGGCATCCTCGCGCTCGACGAGCCGACGACGAACCTGGACGAGGCGAACCGGCGGAGCCTCGCGCACGGGCTGAGCCGCATCATCGCGGAGCGCGCGGCGCAGCACAACTTCCAGCTCGTCGTCATCACCCACGACGAGGAGTTCATCGGCACGCTCCGCAACGAGCTCGCGGCCCAGGCGGGCGTCAACATGCCCGAGCACTACTGGCGCATCTCGCGCGAGGACGTCCACGGCCGCCACTTCTCCCACATCTCCAAGGTCGACATGGCGAGCCTCAACTAGTGTGTCGGCTCCTCCCCTGTGCTGTTGTGCCCCTCCCCCTCGACTTAAGCGCCCTAGTCGCTCCGGGGGTACGCGGCCGCCTCGAGGAGCCCGTCGACGTCCGTCGTCGGCGGCCCGACGAGCTTCGCGCAGAGGTCGAAGCGCAGCTTCGCGTCGCCGCGGACGACGGCGCGCAGCATGACGCGCGCGACGTCGGCCCGGGGCATGACGGGCACCTTGAGCTCCGTCAGCAGCGCGTCGTCGCGGCCCGCGACGAGCGCCTTCTCGCCGCCCGCGCCCATGGACAGGCCGCAGGGCTTGACGACGACGCCCTTGAGATCGGCGGCGAGCACGTGCGCCTCGGCGTTGAGCTTCCAGAAGAGGATGCTGCCGCCCTCCTGCGGCGACGGGTCGGGCTGCGTAGTGCCCATGGACGAGCAGAGCACGACCTGGCGCGCGACGGGGGGCGTCGGGCCCGGCGCGGCGTAGAGCGCCGCGACCGTGTTCTCGACGCCGGCGAACTCCACGGCCTTCTGCTGGTCCGCGGAGTCGCCGGGAGACGCGCCGACGGCGACGAGGACGGCGTCGACGCCGGCCATGGCCGCGTCGAGCGACGCGCGGTCGGTGACGTTGCCGACAAAAATGCCCTCGGAGGCGTCGCACTTCGTGCAGTTCAGGTACTGTTTCGCCTTGGTGACGTTGGTCACGAAGGCCTTGACGGCGCCGATGGCCGGGTCGGCCTTGGCCTGGGCGTACAAGAGCTCTCCCAGGCGGCCCGTCGCACCCGTGATCAACACGTTCATGGCAGTGGTTGACGTCGCGAGCAGCGCGAGCATTGTTACGAGGCGGAACATGGCTGTTCCAACAGGTTGGCGGCGGCCGAGGCGCTGACGCTGATGGCTGTGCTCCTCCACCGCACCACACCCAAACCTCTCGGACGATTAGCCTCAATATGGCCTTCGCGCCGCGCCACAGGCCGTATGAGGCCGCCTGTGACCCCCGCGCCGCTTCCGTCCGCGTCTACTAGTCCCTGCGCGGTCGCGTGCCACTTTTGAGCGCTGGAAACGGCGTGCGCGCGACGGCGCACACGGCCTCGGAAACCGCCTGCGGGAGCGGCCGAGCAGCGGGCGGCGCTGGACGCGTCCGGAGGTCGCCGCGGGTCCGTAAACCGTCGCGGCGGTCCGTCCATGTTGCGCATAGATGCGGCGCGCGCTCAACTGCGTCGGCCGAGGCCGTGGTCGTGGTGCGGCGCGCGGCCGAAGACGGGTCCCGACGACACGTTCGAGGCGCGGACCGCGGCTAGATCTGCGCGAGTTCCCGTCGGCGAAGTGGCTCGTGCAGCTCGTCTATCACTACGGGTGAGCCGTGGCCCGACAGATCACGTCAAATCCGCCACATCGCCGTTCATGACCCCAGAACCCGTTTCGGCGGCGGTTTCGGGCGCCGCTCTGCGGCGGCCGGCGCGCGGGGGCCGCGGTCCGTGCCCCCGGACTTGATCGATTTCGCGGCCAAATATCTCCACGAAGCGATCGGGAATGACTCCTAGCGGGCGCGGACGACCTGCAACGCTCGGCGGACGCGAACGTCGTGCTCGGCGCAAACTCGCGCAACCGCTCGGCGACGGCTACGCGGCGCCCATGGGGGCGGCGGTGCGAAGATATGGGCTCCGAGCTCATCCTATCGATGGGCGAGGGCCGTGGAGCACTCATTAGCGCTGGACCCGACGTGCTTCTATGCGGCGTCGAAGTCGTACGTCGACGGAGACGGTCCTAAACCGACACGTTCGCGCACGGTGCGCGGTCGCCGTTCGCGTCTGTACCCCCGGACTTTTTCGTTATCGACGCTCCAAGTACATGGCTTTGCGACGCCGCGGGCTTTCCGGCGGTGGCCCGGTCACCTGCGACGCAGGCGTGGCGTANATAATTTTTTCAAAACACCGTCTGGCACTCTACGGTGTCTTCGCGACCCGAATCCCGAGCCCGCACCGCGTCTCTTCGTCCCTAGAGGCGCCAGAGTACCGGCGTCGAAGCTCGACCGAGAGGCGCCCACTAGAAGCTCGGATTAAGAGGTAGGTGCTCCGCCCGAGATGAGGCTGTATGCGCTCGAGCACCAGATTCGCGAACGGGTCAAAAATGTCGTTGTCGCTGGAAATTTCTAGCCGGAGGCCACGTAGATCTCATACGACGACGATGGTGTGCTCGGGCTCGTCGCCGTGGACGTTGGTGACGAGAATCGCAGCGGCAGAGATCATTCGGTAGGGCTGCAGTGTATGGGGTCCGCGATCCACGACTTCAACACGTTTTCCGAGGTCACACGACGCTTCCGGACCGAGTATATGACCCACCGGAGGGATGTGGCCAGCGCCTCGCACGTGTGGCGCTCCGGATGCCCGCGGTCAACGCGTCGGGAATGTCGTCGGCGCCGAGCTTCGGCCGCGCGCGCAGTCACGTTTTGGGCCCGCACGCATCGAACCAAGCACGCGGAATCTCTTATACCATCACTAAGGACCCGCACACGCCCCAAACGAGCCAGAAGCAGCGTTTCCGACGAGTCCGCACTCGGGCCTCTGAGAGCGTGGGCCGCCTACCGCTGTCACGCGACCGTTTTGAGCCGCGAAGTCGCCATCACGAACGGTTGGAACGGCTCCGCGCCCTCGTGGGGTACATGCGCCGCGGCCGGGGCCGTTTTTCCTTCGGCTACCGCGGCCTACGCGCCGCTTTGAGGCCCATCGAGGGCTAATCGGGTGTTCACCACCCAAAGGTTTGGGTGCGCGCACGAACCCGAAAGCCGCGCGCGCGCCGCCGGGCATCCCGCCACCTCGAGCGCTAGCGCGCGTTCGACGCGATGGCGTAGGGGAAGTGCCCCGCCTTCCTCGCGAGGCGCGCGAGGATTTCCGCCTCGAGGGGGCAGTTGCGGAGGCCGTGGCGCTCGTGGGCGTTGTTGCGGACGTGCTGGACGAGGCTCGCGGAGAAGAGGGAGATGGGGATGACCTTGACGAGGTCGAACTTCCAGTAGACGTCGACGACGGCGTGCTCCCGGGGCAGGCTCTCGGGCGGCGCCGCGGGGATCTCCCAGAAGTCGGGCGGCGCCTTCGCCGCGAGCGCGGCGAGGTGGGCCGGCGCGAGGGCGTAGGACGCCGCGTAGTGGCGCGGGAGCACGAGGCACGGCTCGCCGCCGAGGTCCCGGACGTCGTGGTCCCAGAGCCGCGCGGAGTCGCAGACGACGCGCGGCGCGTCCGACACGACGCGGCGCGGGCCCTGGGACGACGCGTGCGTCGCGAGGCCCTCGTCGTGGTCGCCGCCGTGGGGCAGGTGCTCGTAGCGCGCGAAGCCCGGCACGTATTTCTCGGGCAGCCGCGCGGCGGCGGCCAGAAACGCGACGACGTTCGCCGCGCGGACGATCACGTCGTCCTCCGCGACGAGGTACACGTCCGCGGCGCCGCGCGCCGCGAGCAGCGCGGGCCGGTGCGCGTAGGCGAGGCCGGCGCCGACGGACCGGGGGAAGCGGACGACGTCGACGGCGAGCGCGCCGCGCGCGCCGCCGTAGGAGCAGTCGACGGACCGGTCGCAGTCGCCCGCGGCGAAGACCGTCGCGTTGACCGTCCAGCCCATGTCCCGCCGCATCTCGCAGAGCGCCCCGAGGCTCGCGCGCAGGCTCGGGTTCGTGCCCTCGAAGGCGTGGAGGAACGCGCGCACGCGCAGCGGCGGCTCCTCGGCGGCCGCCGCCAGCGCCAGCAGCAGCGCGCGTCTCATATGATGAGCTCTCTCAAAGGCTGCCCCATTGCGAAGCGGCTCTATCAGGCTTGGCCAAATCAGCGCACACGACGAGCGCTCTCAAAGGCTGCCCCATTGCAAAAGCGCGCTCAAGCATCAAGCACGCAACACCGCATGCACGTTCGACCCGCATCGCGAGAAGCCGAATGGCCGCCATGAGATTGCTCGTGCTCGCGGCCCTCGGCGCCGTCGGCGCCGTGGAGCTGGGCAAGACGACCTACAATTTGAACCTCATCGTCGAGCGCGGCGAGTTCGAGAAAACACTCGCGGACGCGCAGGCGCTCCTCGAGGAGACGAAGCGCAAGAAGATGGGCGTCGCCGTGCAGCTCCTGCTGCGCTCCGCCGCCGACAAGATCACCAAGTCCTTCGAGGAGCTCGAGAAGCGGCGCGCCGACGAGGCCAAGGCGGAGGCCAAGGCCAGCGCGGCGGAGGCCGCGCGGCCCTACGAGGCGCCGACGACGCTCACGAACGCGTCCGTGGGCGTGAAGCCCCTCAAGGCCTTCAAGGCCACGGCGAAGAAATCGAACACGATCCGCCGCGTGACCCTCGCCGAGTGGGGCGACCTCGAGGCGTCGGGCAAGCTCACGGACGCGCTGAAGAAGCCCATGATCCTCGAGGGCGCGCTCGGCAACCGCGACGCGCTCCGGGAGTCGTTCCACGCGGCGCGGCTCATGGAGGACCCGGCCTTTTCCGACGTGCGCATCGAGTACGTGACGCCGGCCGTCGCGCGGTCGAAGCGCACCTTCGAGGAGCAGGACGCGAGCGCGCCGCAGGAGTACGAGCACACGGCGATCAGCCTCGAGCGCTACTTCGTCAACTGCTTCAACCTGCGGGCGAAGCCCGACTTCCGCAAGCGCGGCGGCGGCCAGACGGAGCACTGCGAGCAGGATTTGGCCTTCGGGAGCGTCGCGGGCGCGAACGCGAGCGGCATCCTCGACGGGTCGCCGCTCGCGGAGCTCGCGGGCGCGGGCCTGGACTACGACCGGGGCCGCGCGGCGTTCCTCGTCGACGCCGCGACCCGGGGCGTCGCGGGCGCGGCGCGCGCGCTCGGCGGCGGCACGACGCGCCTCGTGCTCGGCCCCGCGGGCTCGGGCGAGCACCTGAGGAACCAGCGAACGCCGTTCCTCGACGGCCTCGTCCACGGCAAGCGGCGCTGGTTCGCCATGTCGCCGGCGGCCTTCGGCAAGCTGCGCGCCGTCGCCGAGGCCGCGGAGACGCTCGAGCCGTCGAGCGCGTTCGTCTTCTTCGAGTCGCAGCTCGAGGAGCTCGTCGAGGACCTGGGGCTCGGCGGGTCGAAGATGCGCTACGCCGAGGGCACGCAGGAGCCGGGCGACGTGCTCTTCATGCCGCCGGACACGGTCTTCACGAGCCTGACCTACGCGGACGCGGTGTCGGTCCGGGGCCTCGCCGCGGGCGCGCACGAGGCGGCCTACACGACGGACGCGAAGCTCTGGATGCCCGCGGGCGGCCACATCCCGGAGAACGTCGCCGCGGCGGCGTGCTACGGCAATTCGGAGTTTCTCTTCGACGCGGCCGCGGCCGCCGCGGCGACGCCGGGCGACGCGCACCCCGCGGCCGCGCAGATCGTGGGCATCGCGGACCAGATCCTGCCCCAGATCTACGGCACGGCCGAGGCGCGCGACGGCCTCGCCCTCGGCGCTCTCGCGGACTGCGCGGGCTACGCGGCCGTCGCGGGCTCCATCAAGGGCTCCCAGTGCGAGGTCCACGCGGCCGCGTGCGCGCGCGTCCTCGGCCTCGACGGCGCGCCCTGGCTCGCGGACCTCCTCTCGGGCATGTTCGTCAAGAAGCGCGACTGGTAGGTCTCGTCGGGGTGTATAACAGCGATCCGAGTCTCTTCTTGCCGCAGGGCTTTCTTGGCGAGCGAGCAAGTGGCGAGACTCTCGCCGAGAGGCGCGGCATACTGACGTTTCCGCTGAAGCGGTGGTAATCACAAAATGCGACGCCCCTCTCGCAGGCGGCTCGATGCCCCGATCTCACCATAACATCGGCTCGCACGTCCTCCGGGGGACCATGAAGTCACCAGCCCCTCGCATGCCGCGCGCGGCTCGCGGAGCCGACGCGGTGTCCTGGAGCTCTCAAACCAGCAAACCAACAACAGAACTAGCTACCAAAACCCCAACGCAAACAAAGAATTTAACACAGCATCGTCCGCCCGCGCAGGAACCGCCGCGCGGCCGCGGCGTCGTCCTCGTCGAGCTCGCCCAGCGCCTCCGCCATTGCCGCGGCGACGGGCCGCACGGCGCAGGGCCCCGACGCGCGCTCGCACCGGTGGCCGCAGGCGCGCTCCGGCCCCGTCCAGAACTCGACGACCAACACGCTCCGCTCCCCGCGCGTCACCGGCCGCACGTTGTGCCGCTTGTGCGACGGAAAGACGACGACGTCGCCCAGATCGTCGAACGCGCGTCCCTCCAATCCCTCCGCCACGAAGTCGCCGCCGGAAAAGTCCGCGTCGGGCCGCGCGAGCATGCAGTCGACGGTGTAGCAGGAGCCGGAGTCGACGTGGTGCTCGTGCCGCAATTCGCCGCCGCGCCGCACGCGGTGGTACTCGACGACGCGCGGCCGTAGCACCGCCCCGCGCCCAAAGTCGCCGAACGTCGCCGCGTCCGCGGCGCGCGCGGCGCCGAGGAGCTTCGCCAACAGCTCCGGGAAGCGGCGGTTGAAGCGCAGGTCCGTCGACAGGTACAGCGTGTCCCACGCGGGCGCGCCGGTCGCCGCGTCGGCGCACTTGCGCTGCGCGCCGCAGAGGTCGCCGACCTCGTCGGCGAAGGCGTGGATCGCCGCGACCTCCGCAACGCTGAGGAACCGCGGCAGCTTGACGACGGGGCAGCGGTTCGCCGCGTCGTCGCTCAGGAGCGGCGCCGGCAGCAGCGACAGGGAGGCGTCGTCGTCGGCGATCGATGCGTCGTCGATCGATGCGTCGTCGGCGATCGATGGCGATGCGATCGATGCGTCGTCGACGAGTGATGGCGTCGACGCAGGCGCGTGTGGCGCGCACGGCGCGGCGAGGACGGATCGCCCGAGCATGGCAGCCATGAGGCTCTCCGACTGCAAGATGAACTACAACGAAGGAAATTTACGCCCGCGCGAGGGCCTCGTTGACGATGCCGAGGAGCTTCCCCCGCGCTTTGAGGTGGATCGAGAGGACGTGGTCGTCGAAGTCGTGGGCGACGGCCGACACGCTGGCCGGCAGGCGCGCGACCTGGGCGACGTCTCCGCGCAGGCCGACCCGTAGTGCACCTCCACGGGCCCCTTCGCCCGCCCGAGAGCCGCCGCGATCGCCGCGGGCAGCGCCGCGCGCCGCGCCGGCGTGAGGTCGTGGCGCGCAACGGCCGGGTAGGCCGCGACGTCGACCTGGGGCGTGAACGCGAGCGTCGCCGTGGCCAGGTCGCAGTGGGCCAGCGCGCCCGAGCCGCCCATGGAGTCGCCGAGGAACAGCACCGCGCCGTAGCCCGCCACGAAACCCTCTAACTTTTCGCGGTAGAAGGCCGGCCCGCGCCAGGAGCCGTCGTCCGCCGAGAGGTACCAGGAGAAGGCCGGGTCGAGCACGTGGAGCACGTCGAGGCGGTTCGCGCCGCCGGGCAGCTCCAGCTTCCTCGCGGTGCCCATCCACTCGGGCCGCGCGAGCCCGCTGCCGAGCGACGAGAACGCGACGAGGAGCGCGGGGTCGCCGGCGGTCTCGGGCCGCTCGAGGACGCCTCGCGCGAGCCGGAAGCGACCTTCGCCGCCGTGCCACCACGCGGAGACCGCGGCCTCGAGGGCTGGGGCTTGTTTCGACGCCGCGCGCTTCGCGAGGGCGAGGAAGAGCACGACGCCGTCCATGGTCTTCGGGAGGCCAAAGTCCGCGACCTTCGCGAGCTCCGCGGCGGCCGCGTACAAGCGGTCGCAGTCTCGCCGACGTCGTCCTCCATCGACGTGAAGAGCGCGCCGTCCGCCGCTTTCGCGACGAGCGCGGCGCCCTTGAAGGAGCGCTCGCCGCCGGCGTAGGCCTTCGCGTCGTCGAGGAACGCCGCCGTCAGGCGCTCCGCGACGCGCGCCTTCCCGTCGGACGCGAGGAACCGGAGCGCCGCGTCGAGCGAGCCCGGGCTCTCGGCGACGAGCGCCTCGAAGTTGCGCGTGTAGTGCGGGTGGCCCGCGCCGTCGTCGCCGTCGTCGATGGGGAAGCATCTCCCGAGGGCCGCGAGGGCCGAAACGCCCGCGGGCGCCGCGTGGAACATGCGCTCGTCGCGCCACCACGGCGCGGCCACGGTCACGTAGGCGATCACGCGGTCCTCGCTCGAGTCGTTGACGCCGCCGCGGTGCAGGAGCCGGCAGTCGAAGAGCGCCGCGTCGCCGGGGCCCAGGAGCGGCGCCACGGCGCGCGGCGGCTCGCGGCCCGCGACGACGTCTTCGAGCGCGGCCGCGCACGCCGCGTCGAGGTGCGTCGCGGGCGCGAACGCCGTCGGTCCGTTGGAAGGGCGGAGCTGGGTGAGAGGAAAGAAGACGTTGACGACGTGCGCGCCGCAGGGCGCGGAGTCGCAGGCCTCGAGCGTCGACGCGTAGAGCGACGGCGCGTCGCGGTGCCAGGGCTGGGGCGACCGGGGGGCGTCGTCCTTTCGTCCGAACGCGCGCACGAAGCCGAAGTAGAGCACGCGCGGCGCGTCGCAGCGGAGCGCTCTCTGCAGGAGCGGCCGGACCTTGTCCAGGAGCACCGACGCCACGGGGAGGAGCTCCGCGTCGGCGCCGTCGGCCGCGACGTACGCGGCGTCCGGGGGAAGGGGCGCGCGCGCCGCGACGGCCGCGGCGGCCTTGTAGCGCACGTCGACGCGGTCGCCGGGCCGGTGCGTCGCGCAGGGCAGGTCGTAGGCGTCGCCGACGCGTAGGTTTTGCGGCGCGAGCTCCTCGGCCTCGAGGCGCGCGAGGCTCTCGTCCGCGGCCCCGCGCAGCGCCGCGACCTGGGCAGCAAAAGAGATATTCAACGTCGCTTCAACGTGAGTGTTCCGCGCGCGCGCGTTCCGGAAAAAGCATCCACGCTTCGAGACCGTTTCGAGAGATGATCGCTCGTCCAAAAATCAGCCGAAACGAGTGGAAAACGGCCGAGATAGGAGCCTTTGAAGTTGGGAATTTCGCTCTCTTTTGCTGCCCTGGCCGCGACCAGCGACTCCGGCAGCACGTGCTCCGCCGTCACGACGCCCTGCTTCTCGAAGATGGCAAAGGCGCCGTCGACGTCGCTCAGGTCCACGGCGAGGGAGCCCCGGGCCCGGGCGAGCGCCCGCTTCCACGCGTCGACGACGCCGCCCGCGCGCGCCGCGAGGGGCCCGCCGCCCCTGGCGACCTTCGCGAGCGCGCGGCCGGCCGACGTCTTCTTCAGCGCCCGCGCCGTCGGCGCCGGCGCCGCCTCGAGCACCCGCACCGCTTCGAGCGCGCGATCGTCGTCGCCGGCCTCGACCGCGGCGCGCAGGTCGCCCGCGGCGCCCGAGAGGTGCGCGGCCTCCGCCCCGTCGACGAAGTCCAGAGCGTCGTAGCAGCCCTCGCGGCACCGCGCGACCTCGATCATGATGAACTGGGCCCGCGGCACGACGAGCAGATCCGCGCGCTGCGCCTCGTAGCTCTCGTCGCACCGCGGACGCAGCAGTGTCATGAAGCTGAAGTCGTCGACGCGGCCGTTCATGCACGTGAGCAGGTCGCGCCAGAGGGGGCTGTTGAGCTTGCCCGCGACGTCGCGGACCTCGTGGGAGATGGACGCGCGGAACGTGCGGTAGAGGAGGTCGTCGCCGGCGCGGTCCCTCGTGAGCACGACGTCCTTCGGGGCGCCGGCCTCGACGGCGCGGCGCAGCGCCTTCCAGTGCCATTCCGCGTACTCGGCGGCGGCCGACGCGCCGTTCCGCTCGATCTCGGGGTCGTTCGTGATGCCGTCGGCCATACTGCGCTTTCGGATAAAGAGGGTATATGGCGAGAAGGCAGCCCGGGCTGGGTAAACAAGGTCAATGTCGCACTCTGTTGAACCAGTCCAAGGAGAGCTGCCAACAACTCGCTCTCTGAGGCGCCGGTCCTGCCGGCAGCCGCGCCGCCAATCATGGGCGTGCCGGCGTTCTTCCGCTGGCTCGCGGCGCGCTACCCGCCCGTGATGATGGACCTGCTCGAGGGCGAGGAGCGCGGGCCCTACGACGCCGGCACGGAGGCGTCCCTGGTCCGCGACACGACGGGCCAGCTCGAGGCGCGCTGGGTGCAGGTCGAGAATTTGTACGTGGACTGCAACGGCGTCGTGCACCCCTGCTGCCACCCCGAGGGCCCCGGCGCCGTGCAGCCGGCGACGGAGGAGGAGATGCTCGACAACGTCGGCGCGTACCTCGACCGCCTCGTCGCGGCCGCGCGCCCTACGAAGCTCGTCTACCTCGCGCTCGACGGCGTCGCGCCGCGCGCGAAGATGAACCAGCAGCGCACGCGGCGCTTCTGCAGCGCCCGCGAGGCCGACGAGGCCGCGGCCGCGACGCGCGAGCTCCTCGCGCGGCGGGGGCACCGGCCCGCGGCGAAGGCGCGCTGGGACCACAACGCGATCACGCCCGGCACGGAGTTCATGGCGAAGCTCGCCGCCTTCTGCCGGCGCTGGGCCGAGAGCCTCGTGGCCCGCTGCCCGCAGCTCAGCGTCATCGTGTCCGACGCGGCCACTCCCGGCGAGGGCGAGCACAAGATCATGGATTGGATCCGCCGGTCGCAGGCGGACCCGGACCGCCGCGGCGAGCGCCACGCGGTCTGCGGCCAGGACGCGGACCTGATGTTCTTGTCGCTGGCGCTCCACGCGCCGCGCGTCTACGTATTGCGGGAGCGCGTCGAGACGCGGCGGAAGCCGCGCGGCGGAGGCAAGGGCGGCCCGCCGCCGGAGCCCCGGAAGGCCTTCGGCCCGCCGCGCCTGCAGTATCTCTCGTGCCAGCGCCTGCGCCGCTGCTTAATCGGGGACGCGTCGCTCAACGCCGCCGCGGACGGCGCTCTGCCGTTCCCGCGCGACGACGAGCGCTTCCTGGACGACTTCGTGTTGCTCTGCTTCTTCGTGGGCAACGACTTCCTGCCGCAGCTGCCGTCGCTGTCCATCCCCGACGGCGGGTTGGACCTGCTCCTCCTCCTCTACCGCCGCGCGCTGCCGCGGCACCTGGGCGGCTATTTGACGGACGAGGCGACCCGGTCGCCGTCGCCCGCGGGCAAGGTCGACGTGAAGCGCGGAGCAGGAAAAGAGTGATTCAAGTTCTCTTCAACACGAGTGTTTCGCGCGCGCGCGTTCCGGAAAAAGCATCCACGCGTCGAGAGCGCTCCGAGAGATGATCGCTCGTCCAAAAATTAGCCGAAACGAGTGGAAAACGACCGAGATATGAGCCTCCAAAGTTGGAAATTTCGCACTCTTTTCCTGCCCAGGTGAAGCGCGTCGCCGTGCTCCTGAGCGTGCTCGGCGAGCTCGAGCCGGAGATCCTGCGGCGGCGCGCGAAGCGCGACACGGGCAAGCCGGACACGGGGAAGCCCGACGCGAAGACGGACGCGCTCGTCGGGCTCGCCGCGTCCGCGGCGGCGGACTACGCGAACTCGTTCGCGGCGCTCTCGCTGGACGACGAGGCCTCCCGCCGGGACCCGACGGCCGCGGAGGCGGCGGAGACGAAGGCGCTCGTGGAGCGCGCGCTCGCGGCGCACGCGGCGACCATCGAGAAGGCCTTCGCGGCGGGCGGGAAGCCGCTCGACCTCGGCGCCAAGGGCTACCGCGAGCGCTACTACAAGAAGGTCCTGGCCCACGGCCCGCCGGCGTCGGGCAACCTGGAAACGGACGTGACGGCCATGGTCGCCGAGTACTGGCGCGGCGTCCGCTTCGTCGCGGAGTACTACCACCGGGGCTGCGCGAGCTGGTCCTGGTACTACCCCTGGCACTACGCGCCGCTCGCCGCGGACATGGCCAAGTGCGTGCTCAAGAGCCCCGAGGGCCTGAAGCTGGCCTACTCGAAGCTCGTGCGCGACCGGCCCATCCAGCCCCTCCAGCAGCTCATGGCCGTGCTGCCGCCGCAGTCCGCGCACTGCTGCCCGAAGGCGGCCGCGGAGCTCATGACGTCCGAGAAGTCGGAGCTCGCGAGCCAGTACCCCAAGAGCTTTCCGTTGGACCCCAACGGCAAGCCCGCGGGCCTGCGGTGGCTCTGGGTCGCGCTGCTGCCCTTCTGCGACATCGACCGGCTCGTCCGCGTCTTCGGGAAGCGCGTCGCGCCGGCGCTCACGGAGGGCGAGCGGAAGCGGAACCGCAACGGCCCCGCGGAGCTCGTCACGGCGCGGCGCCTGGAAGATCTCGCTGAGGACGCCTGGCACGACCTGCCGCGGGACTCGCCGATCCCCGGCTCCGTCAAGACGTCCGCGGGCGGCGGCGCGTCGCTCGCCTGCAGCCGCGTCGCCTACTCGCCGCCGGAGCTCCCGCCGAACGCGCCGCCGCGCCGCGCGGGCCACGACGCCCCCGAGGACGCCCTCGCCGACGTCCGCGACTACGCGAACGCGTCGGCGCGCGCGCCGCGGCTGCCCGCGGGGCCCGAGTCCATCGACCGCGCGCTCAGGGCCATGGCCGGCCTCGACAAGCCCCGGGGGCCGCCCCGCGTGCCCTGCCGCTACTTCGCCAAGGGCACCTGCGACAAGGGCGAGAACTGCACCTTCGTCCACGCGCTCCCGAAGCCGCCGCCGCCGGCCAAGTGCCACAAGGCGCCGAAGATCCTCACGAAGCCCAAGAAGCCCCTCGAGGCGGGCGCCAAGGTCTTCGTCCCCGTCAAGCTCAAGACCAAGCCCCCCAAGGCCGCGTCGTGATCCGTTCGTTTAAACATAGAGTCCGCCTCTGCTCTGGTCTTACTCTGGTCTGTCCTCTGTGGACGGCAACTTCGGCTCACTCGACTTTTTAAGTGGTGCTGCCACGACATGAGAGCACTGCTCGACATGATGAGCTCCAAAAGCGCGAGAGAACTCGAGTTGTTTGAGCTGCGTTGAGCGTGCGCTATGCGCTCCAAGCTCGTCTTCGAGCTCCAGTACCTGGGTGACGCATTCGCTGGCTGGCAGCCGCAGCCGAACGAGCGCAGCGTCCACGACGTGTTCGCCGCCGCGCTGTCGAACGCAGGCATCACCGACTGCGGCGCCGTCGCCGCCGGGCGCACGGATCGCGGCGTCAACGCCGCGCACCAGGTCGTGTCCGTGCGCTCGGACGCGGACCGCGGCGACGAGGACCTCTCGGCGGTGCTGCGCGACGTGTCCGCGGCGCTGCCCGGCGACGTGCGCGTCCTAAGCTGCCGCCAGGCGCCGGCGAGCTTCCACGCGATCACCTCGGCGCGGTCGAAGCGCTACGCCTACTATCTGGGCTTCTCCGAGGACGCGGCGCGGTACTCCTGGCAGGCGCCGCCGGGCCTCGACGTCGGCCGTGTCCGCCGCGGCGCCGCGCTCCTCGTGGGCGAGCGCGACTTCCGCGCGTTCTGCGCGCCGGGCGGTCGGAAGTGCGGGAGCACGGTTCGTTCCTTGAGGTCGGTGGAAATCGACGACCTCGAGACCGCCGAGCTGCCCTTCGTCGGCCGCGTCCGCGGCCTCCTGCGGATCGCGTTCGACGGCGACGGCTTCCTGAAGCATCAGTGCCGGAAAATTGTGGGCGCCCTCGTGCGCCTCGGCACGGGCGCGCTCTCCGAGGCGCAGGTCGAGGCCGCGCTCGCGGACCCGCGCGGCGCGCACCCGGCCGTGTCCTCGCGGCGCTTCGCGGCGCCAGCGCGCGGACTCTGGCTGGAGCGCGTGGACTACGCGTGGGAGTAAGGTGGATTAGCGGAGTGGGGACTCGCCTGCGTGCCATTCAGCGGCGATGCCAAGAGGCCAGCGATGCCAGCGGAAGGCATTTTCGCCACAAAATACGCCTTGAGCCGAGTCGCCCAAGAAACTTGGTTTTGACGAGCAGGTGACGACAATCGTCGATTCGCTCACCCTCGCCACGACGTTAGCGTCGCAAAACATGTCCGGCGCGCCCGTAAACCTACATGTATCCGACCGCCTACAGCAGCTGCTCCAGGACGTCGTGAATCAACTCGGGGAAGACGGCCGCAAGGAGTTACGCGAGTTCGTCCAGGACCTCAAGGCGAAGCGAGAAACGGGCGAAATCCCGTCGCTGAGCGAGGCGCTGCTGCGAGGTGGCGAGGCCGTCGTCGGCGCGGAGGTCTGGCGGCGCGCCTGCGAGCGACAGGGCGGCGCCGAGGTCTGGCACCGCGCCCGCTCGCAGGCGGGGCGCACCGCGCGCGACGCCGCGTTCGTCCGACGCACGGACCTCTCGACCGTCGCGTCGTCCGACGTCTGGCGCGCCGTGTTCTCCTTCACGGATGTCAAGGGCTACTGCGGGGTGGCGTCCACTTCGAAAATATGGTCCGCGCTCGCGCGCGACGGGTCGACGACATTCTTCACGAACGCGCTCGCGAAGGCTTCGCCAGCCGCGATGATGCAGCTTTCGGCGTATCCGGTGCCCGCGACTGCAAAGACCTACATCGATCTCTACCAGCGCTTCGAGCGGCTCAACGTCGGTAATCTACCAGCCGTGCCAGCATACAATACTACTCGCCAGGCTTCAGACTATTTGTTCACGGTCGAAGTCATCGATTCCCGGAGACGCGAGGTGCTTCACGCGTGCACCGCGACCCTCTGCCTTCGACCCCGGTGGCACGATATTCCAGATGATGAGGGTCGAGCTACCCTTGAGACAGAACGAGTCGACGACACTATATTCGAACTCTTCGATACGACGTGGAGAAACGAAGACCGCCATTTTGCTGTCCGATTGCTCTGTCTCGATAAGATCACTCGGCGCACGTGCGCACTGGTCCCCGACGCGGACCCGGTCGAAGTGGACGCGCAGAACGAAATTTTCTTCAGTGATTCATATTTGACACTCAGAGATCACAACCGCCGTGAAGAGCACAGTGATTACGTGTTACCCTGGGTGCATACACACACCAGCTTGCATCGCACTGAGCAACGTTTCCAGTTCTATTGTGAAAATTGTGGCGACTCATTGCAGCTCGATGACTTCCTCAAGCTCCTCGAACACCACGCGCTCTTCTTCTAGACGCGATCGATAGTCTCTTATGTACACACACTCTATGTTCAGGCGGCGGGGCGCGCGAGGTCGTCGGCGGCGACGAAGTCCGGGTCCGCGGGCGGGACGACGGCGTTGTTGCCCGTGAGCGAGTCGGCGACCATGTTCTGGTAGCGGTGGATCGTCTCCTCGAAGCGGAAGGAGAAGCGGCCGCCCTCGTAGGACGGCACGGAGACGCCCTCCTGGACGGCCTGGCAGATGTCCATGTCCTCGTTGTTCACGCGGACGTGCCACGCGAAGAAGTCGTCGATGGTCTCGTCCGCGCGGTCGCCGAGGTCGTCGTAGATCTTCGGGTGGACGAGGACGTGGAAGTGCTCGTGCGACACGCCCGCGGACACGGGCTCGATGACGCAGAGCATGACGTGGTTCGGGTACCAGGACATGAAGACGTTGGGGTAGACGAGCACGTGGCGCGCCGCCGTCGCGTCCGGCGTGTCCTCCAGGCCCGGCATGGGCGGCGCCACCGACGGGTCGACGCACGTGCCGCCGTCCGTCAAAGGCGCCGTCGCGAAGGCGACGCACTTGCCCCGGCCCTGCGTGCGCAGGTGCTCGTCGACGCCGGACACCGTGCACAGGAGCGGGTGCACCGCCGGCAAATGGTAGTACTCCATGAAGTTCTCCGCGAGGATCTTCCAGTTGCAGGGGATGTCGCGCACCGTCGCGCGCCGGCCCACGACGAGCTCGTCGACCGGATAGTGGCGCAGCTGCTCCCGGAGGTCGCCGAGGTGGTCGTCGAACGACGGGCCCGCGTCCGCGTCGCGCTTCGTGAAGAGCAGCGGGCCGAAGGTCTCGACGCCGGCGACGGGGAACAAACCGTACTGCGACTTGTCGAAGCCCTCGACGTGGTCCGTCGTGAACTTGTCCCGCAGGGCCTTGGGGACCTGCTTGTCGTCGGACCCGCAGGACGTCGCGCCGTCGTCCCAGCACGGCGTGCCCACGAGGCGCCCGTCCAACGCGTAGCCCCACTTGTGGTAGGGGCACGTCACGACGTTCTTCTTCGAGGCGGGCTCGCGGACGAGCTTCGCGCCCCGGTGGCGGCAGACGTTGTAGTACGCGCGGACGCGGCCCTTGTGGTTCGCCGCGAAGACGGGCCTGTGTGGATTCCAAACCTTCAACCCGACTTCAATGTGCGCGTAATCGAACGGTTTGGACCAGACTCTTTCGCTGTGCTTCGAGATCTCGACGAGAGCAATCGATTCGTCCAAAAATCAGCCGAATCGACTTCGATGTGACCGAGATAGAGAGTTCTGAAGTTTGGTGGGGACCCCCCAAACCAGTGGGTGGAATCCACACTGAGACGGGCGCGCCCGGCGCCCAGAGCGGCGCGACCATGCCGTGCTTCGCGACGTCGGGCGCCACGCCGGAGCAGACCCACTCCCGGTCGAAGAGGAGCTTGGCCTCCGAGGCGAAGATGGCCTCGGAGACGTACATGTCGCGGCCGAACGTGTGCGCGGCCTCGACGGGGAGACGCGTGAGCGCGAAATACTCGTCCGTCTCCCAGGGTTTCCCGCTCTTGGCCACGATCTCGAGCGCCGGCGCGGACTCGTCGTCGAGGGGGCGGAGGTGGTTGCCCGCCCGGCTCGACTGCGCGCGGACGCCGCCGAGCGCGTACTCGGGCGTTTTTTGGACGCTCGGCGCCGCGAAGGCCACGGGCGGCGCGTCGCGGCCGCGCACGGGCGCCGGCGGCGCCGCGAGCACCGCCGCGGGGAACGTCTCGCCGTAGCACTCGACGAAGAGCGGGGCGCCGCGCGCCGCCTCGTCGAAGAGGAAGCCGCTCGCGAGCGTCGCGCGCGCCTCGGTGCCGTAGGCCGACGTCGTCGTGACGCCCACGACGTTCCCCGCGCCGTCGACGACGGGCGCGTCGCCGGGCACGCTCCACTCGTAGCCCGGCGCCGTTTCCACGGCGAAGAGCGCCGCGGACCGCGTCCGGAGCGGCGACCCGGGCGCGTCGAACGCGAACGCCGCGGCGCCGCGGCCGACGTACGCGCCCTTGGCCGACGTCCGGCAGAACGCGTCGATGCCCGCCTCGCCGCCCAGGGCGTAATCTAAATCGCCCTTGACCTTGAAGCCCTTCTCCAAGCGCAGCGAGTTCGTCGCGTGGGATCCGAAGGGCGCGAGGCCGAGCCGTTTCGACGCGTCCGCGTCCAGCAACGCGTCGTACAACGCCGCGGCGTCGTCCGCGGCGCAGTGGAGCTCGTAGCCCGCCTCGCCCGTAAAAGAAACGCGCGCGACGGTGCAGGGGACGCTGGCCACCCGGATCGGCGCCGTGGAAAACTTCAAAAAGCCCAGGTCCTCGACGGCTTTCGCGTCGTCGACGGCGGCGAGCAGGACGTCCTTGGACCGCGGGCCCGCGAGCAGCAGGATCTCCAGCGCGTCGCTCGCGTCCGCGACGGTGACGGCCGTCTGGTCCTCGCCGAGCAGCGCGCGGGCCCGGCCCCGGAGCCACTCCGCGTCGTGCTTCGCGGCGTCGCGGCTTCCGACGACGTAAAAGTCGCCCGAGTCGCCGCCGCCGCCGCCGAGCCCCGTGCCAAACGCGTTGACGACCGTGAACTCGGCGACGACGCGGCCGGACTTGGGGGCCAGGGCGTAGGTCAGGCGGCACTGGCCCGGCGTCTTGGGCGCGACGTTCGTGAGCGCGGACCGCAACACCTCGATCGCGGAGTCGTCGGCCGACGTCACGCGGAGCTTGGAGAAGCCGACGGCGCAGGAGATGCCCGCGCTCTGGCGGACGTGGGTCGCCTCCGCGGCGGCGTGGGGCGCCCAGGAGAAGTCGGCGAAGCGGCGCTCTTTTCGCTCCGAGGCCTCGCCGACGAACGCGAGCGCGAGTTTGACGCCCGTCTTGTCCGACGACGTCATGAGCGCGCCGCGCCGCGCCTGGGCCGCCGCCAACGCCTCCGCGGCGCCCGACCGCGCCACGTCGCCCCGGCCCGCGTCGCGGTTCTCGAAGGGCCAGCCGACGGCGTTGTTCGCGCTGTAGGTCTCGACGACCTTCGCTTTGGCGTAGCCGTCCGTCGCCCAGGGCCCGTAGCGCAGGGGGTCGCACTCGTTGCTCAAATCGTAGGGCTGCTCGCCGTCGAGCATGACGGCCTTGAGGTACTCGGCCAGGGGCATGGAGTGCGCGATGCCGTACGTGAGCGTGTTGAAGTCGAAGTAGCCCGGGACCTCCGTGCGGCCGCAGCGCGGCAGCGCGTCCGGCGCCCAGATCGTCGGGCCGTTGACGACGCTCGAGAAGCCGACGTCGCCCAGCGCCGGCACCGTGTCGATGGCCGAGATCAGCACGTCCTCGAGGCGGTCGACGTCGTCCGGGAAGAGGTCCCAGGCCCACGACTTCGGCGGGCCGCCGCGGCCCCACTCGTCGTGGACGGCGCCCGCGGGCAGGTGCTCGTAGGGCCCGACGAGGATGCCGTCCTGCTCCTGGCGCAGGTAGCAGGAGCTCTTGAGGTCCCGGAGCACCGGCGCGCGGCTCCCGGCCGCGCGGAGCTCCCTCAGCGCGGCGATGGGCTCCGTGACCTGCGAGACATCGGGTGACGGGTGGCGTTCATAGAAAGGGGCGCGGCCCGCGCGCGGCGTAGTGGTGCTCGATCACAAAGGCCGGGTGCGTCTGCTCCAGGCCGAGCTCCGCGCTCAACGTCTGCGCCCAGAGCCCGCAGCAGTTGACGACGGCGTCGGCCTCGTAGCGCGCGCCGTCTTTGGTCGCGACGTCGAAGGCGCGGGGCGCCACCCGCGTGAGCGACGCCACCTCGGCCTCGAAGACGATTCGAGCGCCCGCGGCCTTCGCTTCCTTCGCCAAGGCGTACGTGAGGAGGTTCGGGCAGATGTCGCCGTCGTGGGGCGTGTAGAGCCCGAGCTCGAGCGTCGACGCGTCGAGCAGGGGGTGCAGGGCGCCGCACTCGTCGGGGGCCAGGAGCCGCGTCGGGTGCTCCTCGACGTCGTAGAGTTTCGCGAGCTCCAAGTGGCGCCGCGCCTCGAGCGCGCGCGCGTCGTCGCCCTTGGCCACGAGGCGGATGGACCCCGTGAGGTGGAGGCCGACGTCGTGCGTCTCGTGCATGTCCTCGAGCAGCTCCATGGACCGCACGTGGAGCTTCTTGAGCTTCGACGACCCCCCGAACCGCGTCACGAGGCCCGCGGCGTGCCACGTCGCGCCGGAGCAGAGCTGGCTCGACCGCTCGAGGAGCGTCACCTCGCAGCCGGCCTTGGCGAGCTCGCGCGTGATCGACGCGCCGGCGACGCCGCCGCCGACGACGACGACGCGCCGCGCGGCCATCGTCGGGAGAAGGTTTTCTTCGCGGAAAACTTGGGAGTCACGCGCTCGCTCGGCGCGCGGAGTCGACGGAGCTGGCGACGCGCGTCGACGGGCTCGAGAGCTGGTCCTCCGAGACCCGCAGGCGGCGCCTCAGATCGAATCCCGTGACGGGCGCACTGGCTGGCCTCGACCCGCTAGCACTGCTGTGATTGTTCGCGAAATTTATGTTTGCTGTGTCTCACAACATGCACTTTTTACCCTGCCCACCCGGTCGACCTTGCCCTTTGGGAGCTGAGGCGCTCGGCTCGGAGAGCGGCCGCCGCGACAGCGCGTGCGCGGCGCCCCCGGGGAGTGGGGCCGCGCGCTCCCGCATGTGCCTCGGGACCGTCCGTGGCCAGACCACTGCGAAGACGCCGCGCGCGAGACGGTCCGGGCGTCGTCGAAAACGCAACGGCCTCGTCGGAGCGTTCTCTCGCGACGGCTGGCGCGTGTTGGACGTGTTCCGGACCTCGCATGCCGGGTTTCTCCGGAGGAAGTGCGGAGAGGGTTGCTACGAAGAACATGTCTCGCGAAACCCGGCATTCGCCACCGTCGGACCACCCTACGGCCTCGGTTCCTCGATTCTCATCGATTGGCGGCGGTCAAAACGAGCCAGTGTGCGGCGCCGCGACGCCCCTGGACGTCCAGAGCGGTTCCGATGCCCTCTCACGACCGATCACTGGGGCTCCGCTGGCCCGCGCGTCAGGTGAACGCGGCACTCGACAGCTACAGCTTGGGCGCCTCCTGCCAGCGCCTCGAAAACGACACCAACACGGTCTACAGCGACGACGCGCCCACGAACGCGGACTGGCGCTGGCGTTGCGTCGAGACATCTTGTCTCGACTCCAGAAGACGCTCGGCCATCGAAACGGTGCTCTGCGCGCCTGTTTTCCTGCCGTTGGTGCCTCGCCAGTACACCCTAGCCGTACTAAACCAGTACAAACGCGTCGTATACGGCCGTATATACTCGCTTCGGCGCCCCGCGCGACCGCCTGGGGACCGGGCGGACTCCCTGGGCTAGCGTGGACGTGCGTGGCACCCGCCGCCGTCGGGTGGACACGCGTACGTGGCGCTCGCGCACGCCGGAAATCTCCAAAAACCGACATTTTCGGCCATAACTTGTGCCAATCGATGACCTAGCATGATCGGCTGCGGTTCCGGAGCCCCAGATAAACGTCCATCACGATGAGACAAGCAGGGGGTCCGCGGTCGAGGTGCCCAAAATCGTCGATTTTCCAGTGGCGTGGGCAGGCTAAACTTTCTTGTGGCAATTCCTTCGAAGGTGGCTGGACCGCGGCGGCGGCGTCGAGCCCGCGGTTGGCCACCGAGAAAGCAAACCACCATGCTCGCCGCCCGCATCGCTCCGCTCATAAGAGGCCAACACCGCTGCTTTGCGTCGAAACCGCTCCCGGACCGCGCCGACGCCGTCATCATCGGCGGCGGGTCCGTCGGCGCGTCCTGCGCCTACCACCTCGCGGCGCAGGGCTTCCGGACCGTGCTCCTGGAGCAGAACGCGCTGACGGCGGGCACGACGTGGCACACGGCGGGCATGCTCTGGCGGCTGCGGCCGAACTACGTCGACGTCGAGCTGCAGGACGTCACGCGGACGCGGTGCAAGGCGCTCGAGGTCGCCGTCGCGGAGCTCGAGGGCGAGCCCGCGGGGGCGCGCGCCGGCAGCATCTGGACGGAGAACGGCGGCCTCTTCATCGCGACGAACGCGGAGCGCGTCGCCGAGTACGAGCGGCTCGTCGAGCTCGGGACCTTTTACGGGATCGACGCGCGCATGCTCGACGGGGGCGAGGCGCGGCGCGCGCACCCGCTGCTGAGGGTCGACGACGTCGCCGGCGCGCTCTACTCGCCGGGCGACGGCACCATCGACGCCTTCAACGTCGTCGACGGCTACCGGCGCGTCGCGACGGCGAGGCACGGCGCGGTCTTCTCCGAAGGCGCGCGCGTCGCGCGCGTCGCGTGCGACGGCGACGCGGTCGCCGGCGTCGTGCTCGACGACGGCCGGCGCGTCGACGCGCCCGTCGTCGTGAACTGCGGCGGCGCCTGGGCGCCCGCGGTGCAGAACCTCGTCGACCGGCCGTCGGACCCGCTGCCGTTATTGGCCATGAAGCACGCGTACGTCGTCACGGAGGCGGTGCCGGGCATGCACGGCGGCCTGCCGAACGTGCGGGACCACGACCTGTCCATCTATTTCAAGGCGCAGGGCGACGCCCTCGCGTTGGGCGGCTACGAGACGAACCCGGAGTTCTGGCGCATGTCGGCGGACGACGAGAAGCACTTCTCGTTCGGTCTGTTCGACCTCGACTGGGAGACGTTCGACGAGAACATCCAGAACCACATGCGCCGCTGCCCGAGCGTCGAGGACGCGGGGATCAAGTCGACGGTCTGCGGGCCCGAGTCGTTCACGCCGGACCACAAGCCGCTCGTCGGCCCCGCGCCGGGCTGTGTGGAAATCAAATCTTCAAACCGACTTCAATGAGCGCGTAATCGAACGATTTGGACCAGACTCTTTCGCTGTGCTTCGAGAACTGGACCAGAGCAATCGATCCGTCCAAAAATCAGCCGAATCGACTTCGATTTGATTGAGATAGAGAGTTCTGAAGTTTGGTGGGGACCCCCCAAACCAGTGGTTGATTTCCACACAGGCGCCGGGCGGGCCCCGGGGCCTCTGGCTCTGCTGCGGCTTCAACTCCATGGGCATCATGCTCGCCGGCGGCATGGGCGAGGAGCTGGCCCACTGGGTCGCGACGGGCGCGGCGACGCGCGACCTCTTCGGGGCCGACGCGCGCCGGTTCCACGGCGACTGCTCCTCGGACGGCGCCTGGGTGAAGCGGAGCACGCACGAGTCCTACGCGAAGACCTATGCGGTCGTCTTCCCCCACGACGAGCACCTCGCGGGCCGGGGCCTCCGGCCGTCGCCCTTCGAGCAGGGCCTGTTGGCCGCGGGCTGCGTCTTCCAGTCGCGCCACGGCATGGAGCGGCCCGGGTGGTTCGAGCCCGACGCCAAGCCCGGCGCGCCGCGGGCCTACGACTACTACGGCGCCTACGACGACGAAGGCTCGGCCTGGCGTCTGGACTGGGTCGGCGGCGGGCCCGAGGCGGACGGCCGGGTACCGAGCCGCGCGGACGACGCGTACCGCGACGCCGTCGACGGCGAGCTCACGTTCGGCTGGGGCGCGTCGTTCCCGCGCGTCGCCGCGGAGTGCCGCGCGGCGCGCGAGGGCGCGGCGCTCTTCGACCAGTCCTACTTTGGCAAGTTCCTGCTCGAGGGGCCCGGCGCGGCGGCCGCGGCCAAGTTTATGAGCGCGGGCGACCCGGACAAGGCCGCCGGCGACGTCACCTACACGGTGCTCTGCGACGCCAACGGCGGCGTCGAGGCGGACCTGACCATGACCAAGCTGTCGGACACCGCCTTCTACGTCGTCTCGGGCGGCGCGACGCAGACGAAGGATTTGGCGTGGATCGAGGCGCGCGCGGCGGCCTTCGACGTCCGCGTCGACGACGTCTCCGACGACTTTGGCGTCCTCTCGGTCCAGGGCCCGCGGTCCCGCCAAGTGCTGGCGCCTTTGGTCGGCGGGCTTTTGGACGACCTGGCGACGTTCCCCTTTTCGACGGCGAAAACGGACGCGACGATCGCCGGCGTCGCGGGCTGCAAGCTCCTGCGCCTCACGTTCGTCGGCGAGCTCGGCTTCGAGCTCCACGTGCCCCGGGCGGGCTGCGACGCCGTGTACGCCGCCGTGAAGCGCCGCGGGTCGGAGGTCGCGGCGGCGTCGGGCGCGCCCGTTTTAGACGCCGGGTACCGCGCGATGGACAGCCTCTCGGCGGACAAGGGCTACCGCCACTGGCACGCGGACCTGAGCAACGCGGAGACGCCCTTCGAGGCGGGCATCGGCTTCACGGTCGCGCGGCGCCTCAAGTCGGACGGCGACTTTCTGGGGCGTCCCGCGCTCGAGGCCGCGAAGCGGCGCGGCGCCTTCGCCCGCAAGCGCATCGTCTGCCTGAGCGTCGACGCCGACGACGCGGCGCCGCCCTACGACGCCGCGCCGCCGGCGGACGCGCCGCTCCACGGGTCCGAGACCATCTGGCGCGGCGACGAGTGCGTCGGTTTAGTGAGGTCCGTCGCCTACAGCCACGCGCTCCGCCGCACGCTCGCCTACGGCTACGTCCACGCGGCCGCGTCCCGGGAGCTCGGCGGCGGCGCCGTGAGCCTGGACTTCCTCAAGGCGGGCGCCTGGTCCGTCGGCGACCGCGGGCGCCGACGGCCGGCGACGTTCCACGCGAAGGCGCCCTACGACCCGACGAACGCGGCGATCAAAACCGCGGCGTATTAAGAAGGCGGCCGTCTTCTCGGGGCCCCGGGTGTTCTCGAGAGAGAAACCCACGGGGCCCGTCATCATGGTGAAACGGCGCGTCGCGGCTCAGCGCCCCTCGGGGACGAACTCGAGGGACAGCGAGAGGAGTCAGTGCCTCCAGCGCGCGTCCGGGTGCGCGTCGCCCTTGTCCCGCGCGTCCGCGAAGGCGTGGCCCAGGAACAGGTCGCAGCCGCCGCAGTAGAGCTCGTGGACGTCGACGACGTACCCGTTGTAGCCCTCGACCGGCGCGTGGCGCGCCGCGCCGGGCAAATCCCGCCGCCACGACGGCCAGAGGCAGGGCCCGCTCCACTTGTCGTCCGACGCGTAGAGCGGCCGCTCGCAGCGCGCGCAGGCGTACACGCCTCGATCCCAGAAGTCGAGGAACCGCTCGCCCCACGTGCTCAGGTCGCTGAGCAGCTCCATGTCGTCCTCGGCTTTGACGGTGATGGGACGGCACGACACGTCGAAGTAGGCCTCGCGCCGGCCGAGGCTCACGGTCTCGTAGCGCGCGAGGCGCACGAGGTCGCACTTCTCCGCGAGCGAGTTCTTCTGCGCCGGCGTCGTCGCGACCAGCGCGCGCTTCTTCGGCGGCGGCGGTCGCGCGCGCGCCTTCCAGGACCGGCTCAGCGGGCCGAGGAGACCGCGCCACCGCTTGCAGACGGCCATCAAGGCGGCGGCCTGCCGCCGGTGCGTCGCCGCCGCGAAGAAGCCCGCGTCGTCGCAGGCGGCGAGGTCCGCGGAGACGAGGTCCCAGAGCACGGCGCGCTCGAGGCCCAGGTCGCCGAGGCGCTCGAGGCCCAAACAGCTGCCCATCGATCGCAGCTCCCGCACCGCGTCGAGCCGCGACGGGCTCTCGCAGCCGACCATCGCGACGCGAGGCGTCGACGTGCACTGCGACGGCTCTCCCGGAGTCGACTGCTCTGTGCCGGCAACTTGAACTTCAAGTTGCCACTCTTTTTACGCCCCCACCATCAAGGCGCCGTTCTCGGCGACGATGCGCCGCTTCGTCGGCGCGGAGCCCGTCCGCGGCGGGCGCGCGAGCATGCGGTGGGACGTGCCCGGCGGCCCCGCGTGCGCCAGGTTCGGCGGCTTGGGCCCGCCGTAGCGCGCCGTCACCTCGAGGCGGTCCCGCACGGCGGCCCGGTCGTGCTCGGACTTTGGGTCGAAGACGAGCTCGCTGTTGAAGAGGACGTGGGCCTGGACGCGCGGCGGCGCGGAGCTCGGCTGCCACTTCTGGTGCCACTGGCCCGGCTGCCACGAGCCCTTGCGCTCGCGCGCGGACCGCTTCGACGCCTCGGCGACGGCGGCGATCTGCTTGGCTCGCGGGTCCATGTAGCGCGGTTTCGGCGCCGCGAAGGCGCCGAGGTGCGCCGGGAAGTGGAGGCCGACCTTGCGGAGCGCGCGCGACGGCGACGCCGGCGCGGCGAGCGTGCGCACGGGCCCCGGCGGCCGCGGCCGCGCGGGCGCCGCGGCGCGGCTCTCGGCGTCCTTGCGCGCGATGGCGACGCCCGTGACGGGCTTCGTCGCGAAGCCCGGCGGCGCGACGACGGGCGGCCGCGTCTCCCGGTAGGACGCGGCCGTGTGCACGGGCTCGCCGCACTCGTCCGTCGACGGCTGGAGGGACACGCACACCGACGGCTGCGCGCGCTCGAGGCTCGGCTCGTGGAGCGTCTCGGGCGCCTCGGGCGCTTCCACCTGCCACTTGCGGACGAGGGGCGTCTGCGGCGAGAGCATCGCGGGCGCCGACGGCGGCCGCGGCGGCCGCTTGCCGTCCGCTTTGGGGAGCGCGATGTGGATGTTCGCGGGCGCGCGCGCGCTCAGCGCCCCCGCGGCGGCCGGCGTGCCCGACGTGGGCCGCCGCGTCTTTTCCATGTGGGCCTGCGCGTCGCTGCCCTCGACGTGGCGCTCGGCGACGTAGAACGGCGACTCGCGCGTCCTCGGGCGGGCGAGCTCCGCCTGGTGTTGTTTGCGCGCCTCGGCGATCTGCGCCGGCGTCGACGGTCGCTGTTCGTCGTCGTCGTCGTCGTCGAAGGCCTCGTCGTCGTCGTCCGCGTCCGCCTCCTCCGCCAAATGTTCCTGGTGGTGCTTCCGCGCGTCCGCGCGATGCCGCGCGACGGACTCGCGGCGGTCGCCGCCGTCGTCGACGCCGGCGATGTTCGCGAGCGTCGCCGCGTGGATTTTTGATCCTAAATCGTGGGCCGACGTGCCGCTGTGGAAGCCGTAGTTGAGCTCCGTCTGCTGGCGGATCTTCGAGGCCGCCTTGTGGTAGTCGAAGACGCGCGACCCACGGGAACTCCCGTCGCCCGGCCGCTGGGTTTGGCGCTGGGACGCGTCCGCGTAGCGCGCGGACGCGCGCGACGCGACGGTCTCGCGGCCCTGCGCGTGGATGGCCGCGGAGACGCCGTCGAGCATCGCGTCCTCGATGCCCGCGCTCCGCTTGTTGAAGCCGTCGGCCGCGGCCTGCGACTTGCGCTTGAGGTTCGACGTGAGCAGGGCCGAGTTGCGCGCGTGCTTCGAGAGGGAGCCCCGGCCGTCGAGCGCGCCGCCGACGACGTCCTCGGAGCACGAGAGGCCGTGGTCCCAGAGCACCATGACCAGAGCCTTCACCTCCAGGCTCTCGTGCTGGCGGTCCGCGAGCCAGGGCTGCCAGCGCAGGATCTCCTTCGTCGCGCGCGACACGCCGCTCTTCGTCTTCGTGAGCGCGTGCCCCGCGAGGCCGGAGAAGTGGGCCTGGGCCGTCGCCGCGGCCTCCTGCCGCTTCAGCGTCTCGTGGCTCCGCGTCAGCTTCTGGTTCGTCAGCGCCGCGTGCTTCGCGAGGTAGTCCTGGTAGAGCACGACGAGATCCGCGCCCTCGGGCGCGCGGCGGTCGCTGCCGAGGCCCCGGCGGAGCACGTCGGACAGCGCGGGCACGTCGAGGCGCAGCGAGTAGCCCGACGTCTTCGCGGCCTTCTGGCGCGCCTTGAAGAGCAAGCTCCAGGCGTCGGCGTGGCGCCTCAATCTTCGGTTCCGCTCGAGGTAGGCCTTGGACCGCTTCTGGATCGCGTCCGCCGCGGCCCGCTCCCGCTCCGCGCGCGCCGCGTGGTCCCGCTCGGACGCGACGAGCCTCACGACCTGTGTGCACATCAAATCTTCAACCCGACTTCAATGTGAGCGTATTCGAATGTTTTGACGCAAGCTCTTCGGCTGGGCTCCGAGAACTCGACGAGAGCGATCGATCCGTCCAAAAATCAGCCGAATCGACTTTGATTTGACCGAGCTAGAGAATTCTCAAGTTTGGCCCCGACGTCCCAGCTCACTGGTTGATTTGCACACAGTTCACGACCTCGAGGAGCGCGCGGTCCGCGTCGACCCAGTGGTCGCCGACGGCCGGCGGGTGGAGCCGCGGGCTCCAGCCGCTCCGCGGCGTGCGGATGCGCGGCGACGTCCGCTGCGGCAGGTCCAGGAGCGCCTGCTCGTGGGGCGCGGCGTCGCCGCCGGCGGCCTGGCGCGGCGTCCCCCCCGCCGTCTGGGGCCGGTCGCGGCCCAGCGTCGACCCGCGCCAGACGCTCCGCCGGCACGCCGTCAACAGCGCGTCGACGTGCACGAGGTTCGACGACCGCAGCAACTCCGCGACGACGGACCCGTGGCACGGCTCCGTCACGGTGCCCGGCGCGTCGTCGGCCCGCGGCTTCGGCAGGGACAGCAGCGCGACCTTGGCGCCCGGCGGCCGGTTCTCGCGGCCCGGCGGCCGCGACATCTCCGGGAAGCGCCGCCGCTCCTCGACGAGGTACGCGCGCGTCGCGCCGTCGAGGCACCGGAGGCACGCCGCGCCGTAGGACGGGTAGACGACGCCGTCGCCGCGGTCCAGGCCGTACAATAAGGTAAACAGCTCCGCGCGGTAGCTCAGCACCTCGCTGCGCTTCATGGACTTCTCCATCGTCGCGCGGACCGCGTGCGCGGCGCGCTCGCCGCCTGGGCGGCACAAGAGAGATTCAACGTCGCTTCAACGTGAATGTGCCGCGCGCGCGCGTTCCGTAGTAAAGCATCCGCGCTTCGAGACCGTTCCGAGAGATGACCGCTCGTCCAAAAATCAGCCGAAACGAGGGGAAAACGGCCGAGAAAGGAGCCTTTGAAGTTGGGCATTTCGCTCTCTTGTGCCGCCCCGCTCGCCGCCGTAGTGCACGGCCAGGAACCGCCGGACGACGTCGGCCGGCGCCGCGATCTCCCGCTTCTCGAGGCCCGCCTCGTGGAAGGCGCGCAGCAGCTCCTCGACGCCGCTCAGCACGAGCTCCGCGGGCCCCGCGAGGAAGGGCGAGTCGTCCTCGGCGCGCGCGGAGCCCGGCCGCGGCGCCGCGCGCACCGCGACGGCGCCGTCGGCCGTCGCGGGCCGCCGCGCCGGCGACGGCTGGCGGAAGGCGCCGCCGCTCGGCGGCCGGTTCGCGCGCGGCGTCTTCGGCCGCGGGCCGCTCGACGTCTTCGGCCGCTGCGGCGGGTCGTCGCCGCGGCACGGGAAGTCGGCCGGCTTCTTCTTCAGCCTGCCGCCGCCGGAGGACTTGGGCCGCGGCCGCTCGTCCATGGACCCGGGCCGCCCGCCGCCGGCGAAGGACCACTCGGGCTTGCTCGGGGCCAGCGGGTCGAAGGGCACGGGCGACCCGTGGTCGCAGCGCAGCGCCGCCTCGAGGATCCCCGGCTGGTGGTGGTCCTCCAGGATGAGCACCTCCGGCCGCCCGTCGTCGTCGCGCCCCTCGAGCTCCATGGACTCGGGCGTCTCCGGCACCTCGTCCTCGTACATGGCCGAGCAACCCACCTTCCTTCTCAGAGCTCAGCCATCCTCTCACTTCTTAACAAGGTGCGTTTTATTACGTATCCTCCTCATTTTGTTGAAGTTCAAAGTGATGCTGAACCTTTTACCACAGGCGGCATGCGCCGCTTGGCGCGGCCGCTCGCGCCGCGCCTGAGCAGCTCCCGCAGATCGCGGCGGCTCGCGGCGCTCGAGCCGAGGTGGAGCGGCACCTCTCCGATGCGCCGGCTCGCGCCGCCGCTCGCGCGCTTCCTGAGCAGCTCGCGCAGCGCGCGGCGGCTCGCGGCGCTCGAGCTCCTCGGCTGCGACGCGTCGTCCGGCCGCGACGACGTGCGCGATGCCTTCTACGAGCTCGCGAAGAAGCACCACCCGGACCGCAACCCGGACGGCCTCGAGTACTTCAAGAAGCTCGTCGCGGCCTTCGAGGACGCGAGGAGCGGCGCCGACGCCGCCGCCGCCGCCGACGACGACGAGTTCGAGATGACGGGCGCGGCCGCGGACCCGCTGGCCGTCTTCCTGCGCGTCGAGGCGGAGCGCGCCGCGGAGCTGCGCCGCGAGCTCACGGCGGCGAACGCGTTGAGCGCCGGCGGCCTCGACAAGGGCGGCATGTGGGAGCTCGCGCGGCAGGTCGCGGAGACGCTGCCGCCCGGCGACGACGCCGAGGCGCCGCGCGCGCTGCCGGCCGGGCGGCGGAGGCGCCGGAGGCGGAGATAAGTTCTGCAAATTTTACCACGCGAGCTCGGCCTTCTTCCCCGGCACGTTCGCGTGGCCCCAGCGACGACGATGGTTGGAATCGGTGGTGTGGTTGTTGCTGCTGCCGGCGGCATCGGCTCAGCTGCGGCGCCAGCAGCGACCGACTGAGGAAGCGCCACCATGCCGCAGAGGGTGCAACGAGGTCAACCACGACCTCGAGAAGACGTTGAAGCGAGCAATGGGCGGGCTGCCTCGCGCTTAAGATGCCAGCCTCCCGCTGGCGCGTGCTCCTCGCCGCCGCCGCCGCGCGCGCCGCGTGCAAGAGGAACGCCTGCGACGCCTGCGCCGGCAGGACGAAGCGCGCGCCCAAGTTCTACAGCAAGCTCTGGCCCGACGGCGCCGGGACGACCGTCAAGCACGTGCTCGAGCACGCGCGCTTCGCGTGGTCGCGCGGCTACGCCTACGGCGGCGCCGTGGGCAAACTGCCGCGCGCGCCGGGCCCCCACGGCGTCGTCCAGCGGTCGCTGCTCGAGTTCGCCGTCGGCGCGGACGTTTTGCGCGCGCAGCCGCCGGCGGGCGCTCTGAAGATCGGCGCGGCCCGCGAGTCGCCCGCGGACGCGGCGAGGGACGACGCGGCGCTGCGGCGGTCGCGGAACCGCACGGTCTACTGGACGGCGAAGCAGGTCGTGCTGGAGAAGGGCGGCGACGGGCCGTGGTTCTCCGCGCTTCGGGACGGCTTCGCGTGCCGCCTCCAAAGCTGGCGGCCGCGATTGACCTTCAAGCGCGGCGTCCCGACGGTCGCGGCGCACCTGCGGCGCGGCGACGTGGACGTGGGGACGCAGCCGCGGCTCAGATGGGTCGCGGACGACTGCGTGCTACGAGCGCTCGCGTGGATCCGAAGCGAGCTCGGCCGCGTCGACGCGCACGTCTTCAGCTCCGTCGTGCGATCCGGCCGCGGCAAGGGCACGGACGCCCGCAGCTTCGACGTCTTCCGGAGGAACGGCACGGCGGTGCACCTCGACGACGAACGCGGGGACCGCACGGCGACCGCGCTGCTCGCGTGGGCGCACCTCGCGGCCGCGGACGTCATGCTCGCGGCGCCGACGTCGTCCTTCTCCGCCGTGCCGGCCTACCTCAGCGCGGGCTGCGTCCTCCAGCCGCGGACCCGCGACGCGGACGGCTACCACTGCTACGCCCTCGACGCCGCGGACCGCGCGTGCGTCCGCCGGGCGACGCGGCGGAGATGGGTCTAGAGCTTCGCCTTATGGTTCCGCCGGGGCTTGCGCACGGGCGCGGCCCACTTGGCCTGGCGGCCGCCGGCCGCGGGCTGGGCCGTGACTGCGCCGTTCTGGTGCCGCTTGCCGCGGCCCGCGACGGCGTTGCGGCTGTTCGTCTTCCTGCCGCCGAGGAAGAAGCCCGCGTGCTTGGCGCGGGCGTCGCCGGGCCGCGACGCGTAGGCGTCGACCTTGGTCGCGTCCGCGAGGGCCGACGCGCCGGCGCGCTCGGCCCGGCCGAAGCGGCGCCGGAGGCTCCGGCCCTCGCCGGACCGCCGCGCGAGCGCGCGCGCGGACCGGAGCCGCAGCGCCCGGATCTCGCGCGTCGCCGGCGGCGCGCCCGCGGGGCCGGCGTCGCCGCGGCAGTGCGCGAGGAGCGGCGCCAGCGCGGCGTAGAGGTCGTCATCGTGGTTTGGGTCGAGGCGCTCGAGGAGCCAGGCCCACTCCGCTCTTGTGTTATCTAGCGATGTGGATGTGGTGTCTAGCGATGTCGATGCGGTGTCTAGCGATGTCGATGCGGTGTCTCGCGATGTCGCTGCGGTGTCTAGCGATGTCGATGTGGCGTCTAGCGATGTCGATGCGTTGTCGTCGTCTCTCATTGCGTGCTTCGTGCCTTCGGTGATGCTAACTGGTTGTGCTGCTGCTTTGTGCTTGGTGCTTTTGCCAGCGCTGCCGTCGCGGGCTGCGTAGGAATGCGCTTCGAACACGATGTTCGGTTTCGTGCACTACAACGTCAGCTTCAACTCAATCTCGCGCAGCGGAGTCCTCGGACCAGCGCGCCGTGCTCCACGTCACTCCCCAAGGCTGTCCTGCATGCGGCGAGGACAGTGGCTCGCGGGCCAGGTCGCGGGCGACTCGAGTGCCACGCGCGCAGGACGAGCGACGCGCGTGCTCCAGGACGGCGCTCCTGAAGGCCGGCACGGCATTTGAAGCGGCCGGCGCCGGTGTGGTTGGCACCGCGCGAAAAAGCTGGCACCAAGGAGCAGACTGCAGCAAAAGGGAACTTATGCAGATACGGAGGGGTCTGGGTGCGGGGCGCGCCCGTCGCGGGCGACGGCCGCCGCGGGCTACTTGGCGGCCGCGGCCTCCGCGGACTGGTACCACTCGACGAGCTTGCGGATGCCCTCCGGGAAGGGCGTCTGGGGGTCATAGTCGAGGAGCGTCTTCGCCTTGGAGATGTCGGCGCAGGTGCGGGGCACGTCGCCCGGCTGGTCGGGCTTCTGGCGGATGACGGCGTTTTTGCCCGTGTACTTCTCGACGAGCTTGATGAAGTCGTTGAGGCGCGTCGGCGAGCCGTTGCCCAGGTTGTAGATCTGGTAGCCGAGGGGCCGGTCCAGCGCCTTGAGGACGCCGTCGACGACGTCGTCGACGTACGTGTAGTCGCGGCTGCTACTGCCGTCGCCGAAGCGGTCGATGGGCTCGCCGCGCGAGATCTTGTCGACGAACTTGAGGGGCGCCATGTCCGGGCGGCCGCGGGGGCCGAAGACCGTGAAGAAGCGCAACCCCGCGATGTTCATCTTGTAGAGGTGGTGGTACGTGTACGCGAGGAGCTCGCACGCCTTTTTCGTCGCCGCGTACGGCGACACGGGCAGGTCCACGGCGTCCGTCTCGGAGAAGAGGGCCTTCTTCGAGCCGCCGTAGACGGAGGACGACGACGCGAAGACGAAGGAGTCGCTGCCGTGCTTCGCCGCGAGCTCGAGGAGCCGCGTCGTGCCGTGGACGTTGCTGTGGACGTACACAAAGGGGTCGTCGATGGACGGCCGCACGCCGGCGCGCGCGGCCATGTGGACGACGCGCCGGGGCATGGGGCAGGTCTCGAAGACCTGCTCGAGGAAGGCGACGTCGCAGATGTCGCCGCGGAAGATTCTTACGTTGTCGCCGCCCGCGCGGCGGAGCACGTCCAGATTCGCCTCCTTGCGGCTCACGTCGTAGTAGTCGTTGACCTCGTCGACGACGACGACGCGCTCGCCGCGGGCGAGGAGCGCCTCGGCGACGTGGCTGCCCACGAAGCCCGCGCCGCCGGTCACGAGCACCGACGTCGCCGAGTCCCAGACCTCGTCGTCCTTCGGGTTCGCGCTGCTCGACGACGACGTCGTGGACATGGCGTCGCTGTCGTCGATGGTGCTCGAGGGCGACCGGGTCAGCTGGCTGGCCATCTCGGTGGTGGTGCTTGTGCGGTGGTGCTGTGAGTCGAGGAGCTTGTGCTTTGCTACGAGCTGAGCTCAGTGTCGAAGGCTTGGCCACGCTGATGAGCTCGTGAGCTGGCGCCCGGGCCTGCGGTAAATTTACGTCTTCAAGGCAGGCTTTCGCTCTGACACTGAAGCGAGGAGGTTAATCTGGGGACGCAGCGGAGGCGTGCCGCTACCAGGGGCCGCGACCGCCCGCGAGGACAGGCCGTCCACGGGCTTCTTACTTCGAAGCTGCTGCGGCAAAAACGCTGCGGACGCGCGCGCGAGACGCTCCGAGTCGTCGATCTAGACGCAGACCCCGTCGACGCCACCGGCCAGGACGCCCCTAGCCGGCCCGGCAGCGCCGACGACAGCCCGATTGGTCTCCGCGGCGCGCACGCGCGGCCGCGTCCGTCGGCCGTACTCGACGAGGTTCGACGGCTGGCCGGGGGTGGATCGAGCAGGCACGATGGCAGCGTACTGAGACCCCCACAGTTCCGGCCACAGTTCCAGCGCCATGACGACCCCGGCGGAGCCGGTCGTCGTCGACCTCGTCAGCGACAGTGATGTGGAAGAGATCGAGCTCATCGACCTGACCGCCGAGGACCCGCCGCCGCCGCGGAAGCGCCCCCGCGACGAAGTCGGCAGCGCCGGGACGCCCATCTACGACAACCCCCGGAAGAAAGCCGCGGCGCCCCTCCCGGCCGCCGAGTCCGACGAGGACCTGAAGGTCCGCGCCCAGGACGCCTACAACGCGCAGTACTACGCGCGCGCGTGCGAGGCGTTCGTCGAGCTGAGCCGGCGGCACGAGGCCGCGGGCGACGCCGAGCGGGCGGGCCACGAGCTCGGCAACGCCGCGGCCTGCACGCTCATGCAGGCCTATAAAGGCGGCCGCGAGGAGCAGGACCACGCCCACGCGACGGAGACCTACTGCGTCAAGGCTCTGGCGCTCGCGAAGCAGAATCCGACCATACTACTCCGGCGGGCCAAGGCGCGGCTCATTTTGGGCAAGACCATCCTGGGCCAGGACGACGCGCGCCGCGCGCTCGCGGCCGCCGAGGGCCGCGCCGAGTACCGGAAGAGCTTCCGCGACGACTGCGCCGCGATCCTCCGCGAGCGGTCGGGCGCCCGCGGCGCCGCGCCGCGGCCGCGCGTCGCGCGGCACCGCGCGTCGCGGCCCGCGGGGCCGGCGTGGGACGACGTGCGGCTGCGGCGCGTCAACGGCTCGCGCCACTGCCGAGCGCTGGGCCTCTCCGTCGCCAGCGCGTCGGACCGCGTCGACGGCGCCGCGGCCAAGGCGGAGTACAAGAAGCTCGCGCTCGAGCTCCACCCGGACAAGCTGCGCCAGCGCAACGTCACGGACGCGGGGGCCGTCGAGGCCGCGGCCGCGCGCTTCCGCGCGGCCAAGGACGCCTACGAGGTCTTCGGCGACGCGGACAAGCTCGCGCGCTTCCACTTCTGCTACGACGTCCTCGGCACGACGCTGCCCTTCCCGGACCAGCACGACGAGGTCCTCGACTACGACTCCGACGACGACACGCACAAGGTCCGCGACCGGAGCGCCTGGACCACGTCCAAGCGCCGCGTCGACGGGCCGCGCGGCGCGCGGCGCTAGCGGCCGTTTTGTCGTACTCCGGGCCGCCTAGCGCTAGCGGCTGTTTTGTGTTACTGGGCGCCAGTTCCCGGGGCCCCAGGGACGTTGCTCTGGGGCGAGGCGGGACTCGCGCGCGGATGTGGCGGGGGGCTTGAGCAAGAACTTGCCAAGAAGTGGGTGCTTGAGCGAGAAGTTTTGAGAGAAAGGAGCGTGAGCAAGAAGGGTGGATTTTTGGGAGAAGCGGGGCAAAATGGTCAGCGCGCACGTCGTCGAAGCGGGGCAAAATGGTCACTCGCCCTTGGCGTCGTCGCAGCGGGGCAAAAGGGTCACTTGGCGAGGCGCGACGACGCGCGCGACGGCGCGGTCCGCGGCTTCGGCGCCTTCGGCGCCTTGGGCGGCTTGTAGTCCAGGTCGAACTGGTGGTACACTTCGCGGTAGGCCGAGAGCTGGGCCCCCTTGTGCTGCGAGTGGAGCCCGAAGCGCAGGTTCAGCGACTCGCGCGACTCCGGCGCGGCCGCGGGCCCGCGCGCGCTGCGGCGGCCGTCCGGCGGCAGGCAGAGCACGCCGTGGTCGCAGAAGTTGCGCGCGTCCTCGCTGAGCACGTAGGCGTCGCCGGTCTGGAGCCGCAGGGTCCAGCAGCGCTCGCGCGCCTCGGGGGCGCCGTTGCTTTCGAAGTCCGCGTGCTTGTCGCCGCGGACGAGGGCCACGGCCGCCGGCGGCCCGGCGACCTGGAGCGTGACGATGACGACGCCGAAGCCGTCGTGGAGCGGGAAGTCGAGGTGCGGCGGCAGGTGCGCCGCGCCGTTGTGCAGGTTCGGCTGGATCGCGACCTGGGCAGGACAAGGGTGATTCAACGTCGCTTCAACGTGAGTGTTCCGCGCGCGCGCGTTCCGGAAAAAGCATCCACGCTTCGAGACCGTTCCGAGAGATGATCGCTCGTCCAAAAATCAGCCGAAACGAGTGGAAAACGGCCGAGATATGAGGCTTTGAAGTTGGGAATTTCGCTCTCTTGTCCTGCCCTGATCGCGACCAAATTCTCGAGCGTCACGAACTTGCGGTACTTGGCGTCGACGACGGCCTGCACGAGCGGGACGAGCCGCCGCAGCGCGTCGCGCGCGGCGTCGTCGACGTCGCGCTCCAGGAGCGTGAAGCAGGACTTCCAGTTCGCCCGCTCGTCGTCCGCCGCGTCCGGTCCCGACTTCTCCGCGGCGTGGAAGCTCAGGCCGGCGCGCTCGAGGCGCTCGCGGCCCCACTTGGCGAGGCTCGCCGGCAGGAACGCGAAGCCCCGGCTCCGCACGTCCTTGCCCTTGCCCTCCCAGCTCTGCAGCAGCTTGCCCCGCCGGAGCGCGCCGACGACGGCGCCGTGGAGCCGCTGGAGCGGCTCGAAGACGTCCGGCGCGAGGTCGAGGCGGCCCGCGCCGCGGCAGGGCCGCGACGCCTCGCCGTCGCCGGCCTCGAGCAGCGCGCCGGCGCCGTCGAAGCGCAGGGGGCGCGCGCGTTCGACCAGGGCCTCGAGGTCCGCGCGGTCGCGCCGCTCCGTCTTCGTCGCCTCGGGCCGCTCCTTCGGCTTCTTGGGCGCCGACGCGGCCGCGGCCTCCGCGGGCCGCTTCTTCTGCTTCGGCGCGGCCTTGCAGCCGTCGCAGATGTACTCGCCCCGCGGCAGCCGCGTGAGGCCGACGCAGCCAAAGTGGAACCAGTTGTCGCAGCCGCCGTCGCACGCGACCATCTCGCCGTAGTAGCCGCCGCCGCAGACGCAGCCCGTCCACCCCGCCCACGCCGCGTCCTCGGGCGGCAGCGGCTCCTCCTCCGCCGCCGCCGCCGGCGGCGCGGCCGTCGCCGCGAGGTCCTCGGGCGGCGGCGGCGCCTCCTCCTCCGTCTCCGGCGGCGCGGCGGCGACGGGCGGCGCCTCCTCTTCCGTCGGCGGCAGCGCGGCGGCGACGGCGGGCGCCTCCTCCGTCTCCGGCGCCGCGGCGCCGCTCGCCGCCGCGACGGCCGGCGCCGGCGCCGCGACGGCCGGCGCCGGCGCCGCGATCGGCGGCGCCGCGGCGGCGCTCGTCGCCGCGCGCGCGATCGGTTCCGGCTCGTCGACGAAGGGCACCGGGTTTGGGACGAAGACCGGTGGCGCCCCTGCGATCGACGGCGGGAGCAGGTACCCCAGCATCGGTCGCGGCGGCGCTACCATCGGTCGCGGCGGCGGCGCTACGATCGGTGGCGCCGGCGGCGCCGCGACGACGACCGCTGCCGCCGGCGGCTCCTCGACGAAGAGCGACGCCGGCAGAACATGAGCGGCGATCGGCTCCATTGCAGCCACCCAATTTTAAAATCTTCCTTTTCAACTTGAAGGCAATATGGGCCTACGTCGCCGCGCCGCAGCGTCCTACGATAACATATCCCGCCCGGGGCGGAATATGTAAACGCCGCTTCGACTTGGGCAAGAGTGTACATTGGAATTTTCTTTTATGACACAAGGGGAGGAGGAGCGGACCGGCGACTGAAGACCCGAAGGGCGCGCGGTCCCGCGAGCGAGCGCGAAGAAGATCTACTTCTTCTTGGACGCCTTCTTCTTGTCGGCGGGGGCCTTCTCCTTCTTGTTGAGCTTCTTCTGGGCCTCCTTCTCGGCCTTGGCGGCCTCCTTCTCCTTCTTCATCATCGCGTTGGCCGCGTCGAGCTTCTCCTCGAGCTCGAACATCTCGTCCTCGACGGACGCGTCGCCCTTCTTGAGGCGCTCCTTGAGGCCCTTGAGCTTCTTCGTCATGAGCTTGATCATGTCGCGGTCGACGTCCGCGGCCTTGGTCTCGGTCTCGATCTTGTTGCCGAGGGCGTCGAACTTGTCCTCCTCCTGGGTCGGCGCGGCCTTCTTCTTCATCTTCTGCTCCGCGAGCTCGCGCGCGCGGACGGCCTCCATCCACTCGGCGCCGGAGATGTGGACCTTCTGGTCGCCGGGGATCTCCCAGATCTCGGGCGCGATGTCGCCGAAGAACTCGGCGTTGTGCGAGATCATGAGCACGCCGCCCTCGAAGTCCTTGATCGCGCGCGAGAGCGCGCCGAGCGAGTCGCGGTCGAGGTAGTTCGTCGGCTCGTCGAGGATGACGAGGTGGGGGCAGAACCACATGGACGCGCCGATGACGCACTTGACCTTCTGGCCGCCGGAGAGGTTCTTCATCTTGCCGTAGGTGCCGAACTCCTCCATGAGGCCGAAGTCGTCGAGGTGCTTCTGGATGCAGCCCGTCGTGAGGGGCTTGACGTTGCCGGCCTCGGCGGCGATCTTGTCGTCGATGGCCTTCATGAGCTTGAAGAAGCCGTTGGACTCGAGGACGACCTTGGGTAGGTAGAGGTTCTTGTTGTCCTCCATGGACGTGCCGTCCTGCTTGGCCCACTTGACCTCGTACTCGTAGTCGCCGTGGCGCGAGCGGCGGCCGACGAGCTGCTTGATCTGGCGCACGCAGTCGGGGAAGATGCCGTTCTGGATGTCCGTCGGCGGGGGCTTCTGGCCGGCCTTGAGGGGCTCCATCTTTTCGAAGATGATCTGGCGCTCGCCCGTCGCGTTGCCCGCCTCGTCGAGCTCCGCCGCGAGCTCCTTGAGGTAGACGACGAAGTTCTGCTTGAGCTTGGCCTTCTCCTCGTCGGTCATCTGCGCGGCCTCCATGGCCTGCTGCTCCTTGTCGAGGCCGCCGGAGAAGCGCCACTGGATGTACTCGACGGGCGACATCTCGAGGTGCTGCTCGATGTGGTGGAACGCGTGCTGCGCGACGTAGGCGACGCGGCAGTTCTGGTGGCGGTAGATCTCCGGGGAGCCCGCGTCGGGCTTCGTCTCGCCGACGAGCGCCTTGATGAGCGTGGACTTGCCCGCGCCGTTGGGGCCGATGCACGCGACGCGCGACGCCTGCGAGAGCTGGCACGACACGTCCGAGAGCGTCGGCTTCTTCGCGCCGGGGTACGTGAAGGAGATGTTCTTGGCCTGGATGATGGCCTTCGTCTTCGACTTGACGCCCTCGAGCGGGCCGGGCACGGGGAAGGTGAACTTCATCTCAGTGTCGTGGATGGAGAAGTAGGCCTTGGCCATGGGGCACTTCTCGACGAACTGGTCGAGGTTGCCCGTGTAGCGCTTGAGGCGCATGTTCTCGTAGTGGATGACGTCCGTGAGCACCTTGTTGAGGAACTTGGAGTCGTGCGACACGACGAGCGTCGTGACGTGCGCGCACGCCGGGCCCGTGAGGAAGTCGCAGAGCCACGCCTGCTTCTGCACGTCGAGGTGGTTCGTCGGCTCGTCGAGGAGGAGGAGGTCCGCGTTGAGGAGGACGGCGCGCGCGAGGGCGAGCTTCATCTTCCAGCCGCCCGAGAGGTTGCAGATGGGCTTCTCGATGAGCTCCTCCGTGAACTCCATCTCGAGGAGCTTGGCGTGGATCTTCTCGCGGCCGAGCGGCGCGAGGATGGGCTCCTGGAGGCAGAAGTCGATGGTCGGCGTGTTCGCGTCGGAGCCGTCGATGTCGTGGTCGACGAAGCACGCGCGGAGCTTCATGAGCTCCTCGGCGCCGGGGAAGCCCGCGAGCTGGCCGCTGGAGATCGCGCGCATGAGCGTCGACTTGCCGCAGCCGTTGTGGCCGAGCAGACCGTAGATGCGGCCGCGGCGCACGTGGAAGTGCGTCGTGTTCAGCAAGATCTTGCCGCCGTAGGCGAGCTTGAACTCGACGTTGCAGAGGATCTCGCCCTCGCCCTCGGGGATGTCGAGGACGACGTCGCGCTTCGGCACGCGCTTCTCGGACTCGTCCATGAACTTCTTCGTGACGACCGCCGCCTTCTCGGCGTCCATGATGGGCTCGAGGTAGGCCTGGCAGGTCTTCTCCCACTCGAACATGTGGAAGGTCTCGGCGATGCACTGGTTGCTGGCGAGGTTGGACACGTAGGCGAGGATGGGCTTGTAGGTCTCCGCGACCTCGACGCCCTCGGCCTTGATGTAGTCCGCGAGGACCAGCTCGAGGGAGGCGGGCTGCACGGGCTCGGGGATCGCGTTCATGGACATGGTTGAGGAAGAGGTGCGATGTGGCCGGTGCGAGGGGAGGTGCGGTGTGTTTGGCGTTTTGTTCGAATCTGGTCAGCGGCTGCGTCGCCAAAGAAAGACCCGGGTCGTGATTGGCTGAGAGATGGTGCCGCTGAGCCGACGAACACGTCGGACCGGGTACGTCACTACTGCATCGCCAGATTCAGCGGCCGAGGCTGCCCCGCGCCGAGGATGGTTGAAGACCTTGTTGCCGTTGGGTTTAAGCACAAAAACGAGTGTCGTCAACGAGTCGGGGCCAACAAGGAGCCCGCGAAAAAGCGCCTCGCGACCATGCGCTGCTGGGTCGCGCTGGCCCTCGCCGCCGCCGTCAAGGCCGCGGCGGATTCGCGAGACGTCGAGCTGCTCGGCGACGGATCCATTGCCGTCCCGACCCTCGGCGTCCTCCACGCCGAATGGCTTCGCGAACGTTGCAAGCACGTCACGTCCGTGGACCCGATCACGCGCCAGCGGCTCCTGAACCCGCACGAGTACGCGCCGCCCGTCGTGACGAACGCGACTTTGGCGGGCGCGGCGGGCGCCGAGGTGCTCCGCGTGTCGTTCCGCGACGGCCACGAGTCCGAGTTCTCCGTGCCGCTCCTGCGGACGATGATGGGCGCGTCCGTGAGCGGCTTCGTCCAGTTCGACGAGGCCCTGCGGCCGGCGCAGCTGCTCTGGAACGCGACGCTCGGCGGGCCGCCCCTCTTCGCCTTCGCGGAGGTCGCGGCGGAGGCGTCCGACGCGTACGTCGCCGACGAGCGGCGGCGGCTCTACGGCGTGCTCCAGTCCGCGGGCGTCGCCGTCGTCCGCGGCGCGCCCACGGAGGAGGGCGTCTGCAGCGCCCTCGCCTCCGACCTGAGCACGCTGCGCACGACGGAGTGGGGCGAGCAGTTCAACGTCCGGAGCGAGCCCGACCTGCTGCAGGCGAGCGGCGCCAAGTTCGACCTGGCCTACACGGCCAAGGCCATCGGCCAGCACACGGACAACCCCTACCGCTACCCGTCCCGCGGCCCCGCGTCCCGGGGAGCCGTCTTCTGTCCCGAGACCTTTTTTTTTCGCAGGACGCCCGACTTCCAGCTGCTCCACGCCATCGAGCAGTGCTCCTGCGAGCAGGACCACGGCGTGCCCGCGCCCTGCGACGGGTGCACGGTCATGAACTACTTCGCCGACGGCTTCGCCGTCGCGGAGCGCATGGCGACGGAGACGCCGGAGCTCTTCGACTCGCTCGCGTCCGTCCGCGTGGAAATCAACTAAATCGAAGTCGATTCGGCTGATTTCTGGACGAATCGATTGCTCTCGTCGCGTTCTCGAAGCACGGCAAAACAGCTCGCGTCGAAGCCGTCGCATGTTCTCACATTGAAGTCGAATTGAAGATTTGAAATCCACGCAGGCGTCCGTCGCCGTGCGCTTCGAGAACAACGGCGGCGACGGCTCGTCGGCGGTCTGGCACGACGTGCCCCACCTCGAGATGCTCGAGACGGCCGCGCGGGGCCGCGCGGCACCTTCGCGACGCGCGACGTCGTTCGGGCGTCGTCCGACCGACCTTCGCGACGCGCGACGTTCGAGGGTCGTCTTCGCGGCGCGCGGCGCCGCATCTTTGAGCGCATCTCCGACGTAGGCGCCGGGCTGCCGCGGCGCCAGGTGCCTCCGGGCCGTGCGCTTCTCGGCCAAGTCGGGCGGCTACGCGCCGCCGCTGCCGCCCGCGGAGCTCGAGACGTTCTACGCGGCGAAGCGGCGCTTCTCCCAGCTCATCCACGAGCCGGCCATGACCATCCGCATGCAGCTGCGGCGCGGCGACGTCGTCATCTTCGACAACAAGCGGCTGCTGCACTCGCGGTCCGCGATCGCGCCCGGCGACGGCGCCCGGTTCGTCCAGGGCTGCTACCTCGACCGCGACGGCATCGAGTACAAGTGGGAGCGGCTCCGGCGCGCGGCGGCGACGTTCACGGATTTGGAGACGGCGCCGAAGGCCGACTACGAGCGCATGGGCGAGCGCTACGGCGCGATCGACGTCGGCGAGCGGCTGCTCGGCTTGCTGCTCGCGCAAAAGGGCGCGTACCTCGCCCAGCCCGTGGACCTCCTGGAGCACGGGCTGCAGGTCGCGAGCCGCGCGCTCCGCGCGGGCGAGTCCGACGACCTGGTCGTCGCGGGCCTCTTCCACGACGTCACGGAGTCGTTGTCGCCCAAGGGCCACGGCGAGGCCGCGGCGGCGCTCCTCGCGCCCTACGTCGACCGCGACACGCACTGGCTCCTCTTCCACCACGAGGTCTTCCAGGGCTACTACTACTACCACCACTTTGGGGCGGACAAGCACGCGCGCGACCGGCTCTGGTCCGACGAGAGCGCCGACGCGTGGCGGCTCACGGCGCGCTGGTGCCACGACTACGACCAGAAGGCCTTCGACCCGTCCTACCCGTCGCTGCCCGTCGACGCCTTCCGGGGCGCCGTGGCCCGCGTCCTGAGCCGCGAGCCCTACTGGTGGGACCCGGACCACCCGAAGCGCGCGGCCGTGACGGGGTCCGCCTAGGCGCCTGCGCAAGGCGCGCTCCGCTTGCACACCCTAAGGGCGCCTTCTTTCAAGTTCGTTGTAATTTAGAGTGTGAATTTCAAATTCGCCGTTTTTTTCATGCTCGAACGCGCCGCTTGTACACCCCAAGGGGAGCGCCCGTTCGTCGTTTTTGGTTGTGGTTTGGGGGAATAATTCATCCAAATTTGGTGTCGCCGTCCTTCGAGCACGTGAGGAGTCGGGCGTCGCCCTGTTCCGAGCACGTGAGGACTCGAGTCATGCACTGGAGGTCCGACTCCCCGGCAGTCGGGGCGCAGAAGAGCAGCTCGGACAGCGGCGCCTCGGCGGCCGCCCGCGGCGCTTCGCGGCGGCGGACCGGCTCGACCTCGACGTCGATGGTGTCGGGGTCCGCGTGCGCGCGGGACAGCCTGGCGCCCCCGGGGAAGAAGGACGCGCCGTCGTCGACGAGCGGCGTCTCCACGGGCGTCTCCGCGGCCGGCGCGGCCTTGGCGACGGCGACCCCGGGCTTTTCGCGCGCCCGGCGCTCCCGGGCGCACCAGCACAGGGCGCACGACAGGAGCGCGCAGGCGACGACGGCCAGCGCGACGAGCGCGAGAAAAGAGCGGCCCGGGGCGGAAATGTTTCTTCGACGCGCCGCCGCCGCCGCCGCCGCCGCCGCCGGGGCTATTGGGCGCGGCGCTCGGCGCGGTCGTGAAGGCCGACGCCACGCCCGTGTGGGAGATCGCGGACGCCTCGGCGGCGACGCCCGTCGTCGACGCGGCCGCGAGCGCGTCGGCGCCGGCGGCCGCGGCCGCGGCCTGGAGCGCCGCGTCGAAGTCGTCGTGAGCGAGGGCCTCGACGTCCGCGCGGTAGGCGTCGGCCTCCGCGTAGGTCTCGGCCTCGACGGTGAACGTCGCGGCGACGCCGCCGCCGTCGTCGAGGCGCCGGCCGCCGAGGCGCCGGCGCCGCGCGGCCGCGAAGGTCACGTTGTCCGCGGCGACGCCCGCGGCGGCCTCGAAGGCGTCGAGGAAGACGCCGGCGTACGCCTGCGCCGTCGCCACGTCCAGACCCGCGAGTTCGACCGTCGCGACGACGACGTAGGCCGGCCCGGGCGTCGGCGGGACCGTCGGGCTCGGCGTCGGGAAGTCGCAGAGGGACCGCGACGCGCCCCCGAACAAGAACGCGCGGCCGCCGTCGAAGCCCGCCGTCGCCTTGAGGAAGCACGACTCGCAGGGGATCTCGTAGTGGATCTCGAAGGACGACCGCGGCGCCTCGAACGCGAGGCTCACGGCGCGCCTGCGCGGAGATCACATCTCCCACCCGACTTCAACGTGCGCGTAATCGAATGGTTTGACACTTCCGCGGTGCTTCGAGAACTCGACGAGAGCGGTCGATTCATCCAAAAATCAGCCGAATCGACGTCGATGTGACCGCGCCAGAGAAAAGTTCAAAGTTTGGTCGGGACGTCCCGAACCGGCGGTCGAGTTCCGTGCGGCGGCGCGCGCGGCGGCGTCGATGGGGAAGTAGGCGTCGAGGGCGCCGCCCGAGGCGTTGCACTGGTCGCAGTCGGCGCAGGAGATCTCCTCGAGGACGTGGGGGTCGCTCGGGTTGTCGCAGAGGAAGCCCGCGGCCGTCGCCTCGAAGCTGAGGGACGCGCCGGGCGAGCCGTCGCAGGCTCGGTCGCTGGCGTCCACGGCGAGCTCGCTGTTTTCGCCGAGCACGTAGCCGTCGACGGCGCCGGCGTCGACGCAGAGCTTCTCCGAGTGCTTCGCGAACTTCTTCTGCCGGTCGACGTCGAAGAACGTGACGTAGAACTTCTCGAGTTCCACGGGCTCGGACGTCGCGGCGTCGACGAAGCTGAAGACGAGGGACGCCGTCGAGTTGTCGCGCACGAGCACCTGGCCGAAGGCGCCGTCGCGGCCCTGGTAGAGGGAGAAGAAGGGCTCCTGGGGGACGTCGTAGGCCGTCCCGGCCGATACGGAGAGCACGAGGTCCACGGCGTCGCCGTCCTTGTACGTCACGGACCCGTAGCGGAGCGTCGCCGAGCTGCCGTTGCCCGGCCCGCGGCCGCCGAGGTTGTTCGCCAGGAGGTCGCCGCCGTCGACGGCGACGTCGTAGAGGGGCGCGCCGCACGACGCCGCCCAGCCGAGGCTCGGCGCGGCCGTCGGCGCGGCCGCGGCCGTCGCGAGCGCGAGGCAGAAGCCCGTCTGCGCGATGGCCCCGTCGTCGCCGCCGCCGTCCCCGGCGTCGTCGCCGAACTCGTCCGGCGCGGCCGTGAGGTTCTCGAGGTACGCGAGCGCGTGGCTCGCGTACGCGGCCTCGGCCGCGGCGTCGCCGGACGACGCGGCGTCGTCGTCGGCGTCGTCGTCGCCGCCGAGGGCCGCGCCGGAGGCGCTGACGTCGAGGGAGAAAGACTCCGCGTCCTCGCCCGCGTCGTAGGCGCAGCTCGCGAGGCGCCGCCGGCCGCCGAGGCGCCGACCGTCGACGGCCGAGGGCGCGGCCGTCGTCCAGTTCGCGCCCGTGGCGTTGGCCGACGCGTTGACGACGCCGGCGCAGAGCGCGTCGCCGAATTCCGCGCCGGCGGCGCCGCCGAGGACCTCGTCGAGCGCGGCGCCGTCGACGGTCTGGCCGTTCGCGAACGTGATCGCGTCAGAGCTCCGGTACGCGTCGCAATTCGCGTCCGTGAACATCCACCGCGGCATCTGGAACTCGATGACGTAGGACCGCGCCGCCGTCGGCGCGGCCGACGGCGCCCGCGAGGGCGCGGGAAACGAGGGCGCCGGTGCCGGCGCGGACGCGGGCGCGGCCGTGGGCGCGGACGCGGGCGCGGCCGTGGGCGCCGGCGCGGCCGCGGAGGCGGGCGCGGCCGTGGGCGCCGGCGCGGACGCGACCGGCGCGGCCGTCGGCGCCGGCGTCGGCCTCGGCGCAGGCGCGGCCGTCGGGAGCGCCGTCGCGTTGGTCGGGCAGTTGAGGCCTTCGTTGTCGGGCGTCTCCGTCGACGTCGAGTACAGGACGACGACGGCGACCGCGTCGTCGCACGCGACGTGCGCCGCGTAGTCGGACCCCGAGTTCCAGCAGCCGTCGTCGTCGATGCGCCGGATGGGCGTCGCGACCGTGAAGAGCCCCTCGGCGCCGTTGCCGGCGAAGAAGATGCCGTCGAAGGTGCCGGTGTCCAAATACCACGCGGCGCCGAAGAGCTTGTCGATGGGCTCGAGGTTGACGCCCGTGCCCTGGACGATCGCGTACGCCTCCGGCGCGCCGTCGTCGCCGAGCCGCGCGATGAAGAGCTTGAAGTCGTACATCATGCCGACGATCTGCGCGGGAGCGTGGGACGCGGACGGCGCGCGCGCCAGGACGCGGCTTTGCGGACGTAGGTCGCGCCCGTGACGCCGTCCGCGACGATGTCGTCGGAGCCCGAATCCTCCGTAATGGGCGCAAAGTCGACGACCGTCGAAGAGAAGAGGCCGATGTTCACGGGCAGCGTGAGGTCGTGGAAGGTGGGATCATGGGTGTCGAGGTCCGACGCGTACCAGAGGCCGTCGCCCTCGTTCTCGCCGAGCGCGTTGCTGTAGTAGAAGTAGTCGCCTGGGGAGCGCGACGTTCGCGTTTTGGACGCGGGTTCGCGTCTCGGCGTGCGCTCAGAGCCTCTCCCTCGACGATCGACGCCGCGATCCGCTCGAAACGATGCGCGTCCGTCGGACGCCGGCCGCCGCCGACGATGGCCGCGGCGTTCGCGAGGTCGACGCCCATGGTCCCGTCGTAGCAGTGGACGCTGTACTTATCGAAGCGGCAGAGCTGGCTGTCGAAGACCGCGTAGGGGTAGAAGTTTCCGTCGGCGTCCGTGTACATGGCGGCGGCGTTGATGTCGCTCGCGTCCGTGTAGTCGAGCTCGTAGATGTCGACGTAGACGCCGTTGGCCAACTTCTTCAGGGAGTAGTAGGCATCGCCCGTCGCCTTGAGCAGCTGGAAGGGCTGCGTGCCCGCCCTGGTGCAGTTGAAGGCGTCGACGGTCGCGTCCGCGAGTCTCGGCGCGAGCGCCAGCGCGAGCAGCAAGGCAGCCCGCGGGCGCAGCACAGGTGCTGGCACCATGTGCGCCGCCAAATTCGTGAAGTACAACCTTTAAAGGGAGTTTTCATGTTTATGATGTTTCTGTCCTTGCCTTTCGTATCTCAGAGTGCGCCACTTTGGAGCCAATGGAGGCAACGACCTCCGCGAGGCGAATGAGCAAGATCTCGAAGACGCCAGGCGCTGGTTCGAGCGCCACGGGCTTCGCGCCGTCCGTCGCCCGGCTCGCAGAACGAGGAACCCGCTAATCTAAGAGCGCGTCCCGCGACCCCATCCTCGAGATGACCCCGTCCCTTCGTTCCTCCTCCTCGCCGACCTTGCCCCGCGCGACCGCGGGCTGCTCGAGGTAGATGACAGTCGTCGTCAGGATCGTGCCGCAGCCCGCGAGCACGGCGAGGTCGCGGCTCCGGAGCGCGGGGGCGCCGACGAGCAGCACGGACGACACGTTCGACGCGAGCGTCTTCACGACCGCGTTCGACTGGCGGTACAGAAAGGTCACGACGAGCCCGCAGAGCGCGTTGCTCAGGAGCAGCCCCAGGGCCCAGGGCGAGTCGTAGCCCGCGAACAAGCCCACGGCGCCCGAGGGCCCCCCGCCGCCCGCGAACAAGCACGCGTTCGCCGCGGCGCCCAGCGCGTAGAGCCAGGCGTTCTGGACGTGCACGTTCGCGCCGCGGTGCAGGAGGTGGGCGTTCAGCGACGAGCAGCCCGACGTCAGCGCGCAGGCCGCGACGATGAGCCAGCCGGCGTTTTCGTGGGCGAGCGCGTCGTCGCCCGCGTCGTTCCCCGCGGCCGCGACGGGCCGCGAGAAGATGGCGGCCATGCCGCAGACCTGGAGCACGACGCACTGCCAGTGGAGCCGGCTCAGCCGCTCGCGGAATACGACCGCGGACGTGACGGCGATGAGCAGCGGCGCGCACGACTTTGCGAGCGAGAGCAGCCCCGGGTTCGCGAGCTTCAGGATGACGAACGTGAGCTGGTTGTTCGCCGCGTAGCCCAGGGCCAGGCACGCGTAGCCGACCATGGACGCCGCGGGCAGGCGCAGCGGCGTCGCCTCGCGGTAGGCGAAGCTCAGCGAGATGGCGAGCTTGATGCCCTCGGCCAACACCATGGACCCCGCCGCGTTGATGCGATAGGCGCCGCCGCTCTGCGCGCGCTTGTACAACAGCTGCGACACGGTCTGGATGGCGACGAAGGACACGAAGGCCAGCAGCACGCGCTGGCCGCGCGGGGCCGGTGAGGCGCCCATGCGACGCCTCGCTTGTGGCAAGAGTAGTGCTCTGCACCTTGCCCTACAACTTGGCTGCGCAAACACCGCGAAGATCCACAGCGCAGCACCGAAGTAACCGAGCCACCTTAGTAGACGACGGGCCCGCGCCGGGGCTGGACGACGGTGAGCTTGGAGGCGCCCGGCCGCGGCGCGCCCGGCCGCGGCCGCAGGAGGTCCGAGCCGCCGACGCCGCCGCGGGGCCGGCCCGCGACGCCGTGCTTGCCGCGGACGACGACCGTCGCGTCCGCGGCGGGCAGCTTGCGCCCCGCGGCCGCGGCGCTCCGCGCGTACTCGCGCGCCGCGGCGCGCTTCTCCGGCGAGAGCGGCGCGAGGCGCCGCACCGACCGGTAGATCGGGTTCGCGCGGAGCGGGAGCGGCGGCAGGCCGTAGGCATCCTCGACCCTCGGCGTCATCTTCGGCGTGTTGTGGGTCCGCCGCGACGAGCCGCTGCCCGCGGAGCCCGTCTCCTCGACGATGACCGGGATGCCGCGCGTCGGCGCGGGCTGGACGACGATGGCGACGTGCTGCGGCTCCTCCGGCGCGCCCCGCGCGCGCGCGAGCGACTCGCGCCGCTTCCGCTGCTCCGCGGCCGCGCCCGACGCCGCGCGGTCCAGCGTTTTGGGGTCCTCGAAGCCCTCGCCCTGCTCCGCGCGGCGCACGTGCTCCTCGAGCGCCTCCTCCGCGAGCTCCGCGCCCATGCGCGTCCGCGAGAGCCGCTCCGTGATGTCCGCGTGGATGGGCCGCTCGTCCCAGTTCCGGCGCAGCGTCTTGCCCTTCCAGCGGTAGAACGAGCCCCGGAGCGTCGTCGAGTCCGTGGCGAGGTCCTCGATGATGTCGAGGAACTTGCGGCACAGGTCCTCGGACATGCGCATGCGCAGCTTCAGCGCCGAGTCGCTGATCTGCTTCCGCTGCTGCTTGAGCTCGCGGAGCCGCGCGTAGATGAACCCGAAGTCGTCGCGGAAGTACGGCAGCCAGCCCTCGGGCGGCTTCCGCGGGTAGTGCTGCGCCGCGAAGCGCCGGATGCCGCTGAAGAACTCGGCCTCGAGGCGCGCCGCGCCCTGGAGCCGCTTGCTCCCGAAGGGGTTCAGCGAGCTCGTCAGCCGCCGCGGCGCGTCGTCGGGCGCCTTCTCGGCCGCGGCCGCGAATTCGCCGCCCTCGAAGCCGCCGTCGTTGCGCTCGTCGCGCTGGCCCGCCGTGCGGAAGACGACGACGGACTTCCTAGACTGGCGCCGCTTCGCCTTGGCCAGCGCGGCGCTCAGCGAGCCGCGGAAGGACCGCATGGAGCCCAGGACCGTCGCGTCGCGACCTCGGTTCGCGAGGCGCTTCGTGAGCTCGACCCAGTAGGCCTCGCCGAACTGCTTCTTGCGCAGCATCTCCTGGTAGACGTGGCCGAGCGCCAGAAATATGAAGTTCTCGTTGGAGAACTCGAGGAACTCCTTCTTGCTCACGCCGCCGCTGCCGTCCTCGTCCATGAAGCCCGCGATCTTCAGCGACCGCGTCTTCGCCTTGGCCCGCTCGAAGGTCCGGTCCGGGTCGTTGACCTCCGCGTCGGCGTCGCGGTCGTAGCCGCGGTCCAGGAGAAAGTTCTCCACGTCCTTGACGTCGAGGCACATGTCGTCCTCGGGCGCGTGCGTGTTCGCGCCGAAGCGCGAGATGAGCCGGAAGCTAAAGTCCTCGCAGGCTTTGCGGTCCGTCGTGCAGAGGGCCACCATGCCCTCGACGAACTGGAGGAAGTTCAGCTCCTCGCGCACGGACCCGCGCATGATCTCGAAGACGCGGTCGCCCCAGGGCGCGGGGAGCTCGAAATAGGCCAGGAACTCCGCCCGGTCCACGAGGTCCGAGTGGTCGTCGTCGAGCATGACCCAGGAGTCCTGCCAGCGCACGCGCTCCGACGGGTCGTCGATGCCGAAGCGCCGGAACATGGCGTCGACCTGCTTGCCCTCGAACTTGCCCCGCAGGTAGTCGACGCGGTCGATGGGCTTGGGGATGACGACGCCGCACTTCCAGCAGAGCGCCTGGAGGCACTCGTAGAAGCCGCGGTAGACGGCCTGGCAGAGCGTGAGGTCCTGGCGCGGGCCCAGCTCCGCGTCGCCGAACTTGGCGGCCTCGTCGTCCTTGTTGTCCGGCGGCTTCCGCGAGTAGCAGTGGCGGCGGCACTTGTAGTAGCACCGGTTGCAGCAGCAGAGGCCGATGAGCACGCCGCCGATGAGCGCGAGCGTCGGGCCGCTGAACCCCGCCGCCCCGCCCGACGCGAACCCCGCCGCCCCGCGGAGGCCCAGCGCGCCGTCGCCGCCGCCGTCGTCGACGTAGGCGGCGTCGTCCGTGACGTTGAGCAGCGTCGGCTTCACCGTCGGCGAGCTCGACGGCCGCGGCGTCGGGCGCCGCGTCTGCCAGGGCTGGCACGTGAGGCAGCACTCGACCGCGAGGTCGTACTGGTACATCATGCCGCAGCCGAACTCGTCGACGGATGCCGCGCACTCGAGGATCGTCGACCCGCCCGTGTCGTACCACGTGTGCTCCTCGAGCGTGTCGTCGCAGTAGTCGTCCATGTTCCAGTGGTAGACGTCGTCGTTGTCGTCCAGCGTGCGGCAGGGCCCGCCGTTGGCCACCGTGCCGTCGCACTTCCACTCGGCCCAGGCGTCGTCCGTCGCCGGCCGCCCGTTGAACTGCTCCCAGTCCATGGGGCCCGTGACGTCGTCGACGGACATCGCTTCCGTACGTCTCTCGAGCTAGCACATCGCTTCCATGGCTCCTACTGGGGCAGCGCCGAAGAGCTCACATCGTCGTTGGGGCAGCACCTTGTGTTCATCCGAAAACTTTGAAGCAGTTTTTAGGGGGCGAGATGGCAGAGCGTTTTGGGCCATGGAATGCGTGAGCTAAACTAGCATGGCAGCGGGCAGCCGGCGGTGGCTCCTGGCCCTCGCCCTCATCGCCTCGTGCCGGGCCCAGGATAGCAAGGCGCTGGAGCTGGGGATCAGCGCGATCACGGGCAGCACCGCGGCGACCTGCGAGAACTCGGGCCTCTGCGCGCTCGCGTCCCTCGGGGCTTGCCAGGACGCCATCGACCTGCTGAACATGGCCTACAGCGTCGAGGCCAGCGTCGTCGAGGTCGAATCGTCCTCCCAGCCGTCGGGGTGCTTCGCGACGACCTTCTCGACCGTGACGGGCTACGCGAACGCGCGGTTCAACTCAGACGAGAACGCCAACGCCGCGGGCCTCGCCTACCTCGTCTGCGGCTGCGCGAACGCGGTCACGCCGACGCCGAGCTCGAACGCGGTCACGCCGACGCCGAGCTCGGCGGCCACGCCGATGCCGAGCTCGCCGCCGCCGATGCCGAGCTCGGCGCCGCCCTCGGCCGCGCCGACGTCCCGGCCTTCTGTGTCGCAAGAGCCGACCGCGTCGCCCGCGCCGTCGTTCTCGCCGCCGACGCCGCGGCCGACGGTGCGCTGCGCCGCCGTCGCCTTCGGCGGCGCGCGGGTCATCGACGGCGCCGTGGACGGCGCCATGGCGATCGACGCCGCGGACCTCGACGGCGACGGCGACGCCGACGTCGCCGTCGCCGCGACCGTGTCGAGTTCCCTGGCCTGGTACGAGAGCGACGGCGCGGACTCCTTCGCGGCGCGCTACGTCGCGACGGACGCGGCGGGCGCGCGGTCCGTCGTCGCGCGCGCGGACGTCGACGGCGACGCGTCCCTTGACCTCGTCGCGGGCCTCAAGGACGCGAATCTCGTCGCGTGGTACGCGGGCGCCGACGCCTTCCTCGTCCAGCAAATTGTCGACGACTATGCCAAGGCGGTCCACGGCATCTTCGCGGCGGATCTCGACGGCGACGGCGACGCGGACGTCGTGTCGTGCGCCACGGGCGACAATCGGGTCTCCTGGCACGAGAACGACGGCGCGCAGCACTTCGCGGAGCGTTTGCTGGACGGGGGCCTCCAGGCGCCCATCGCCGTCGCCGTCGCCGACGTCGACGGCGACGGCGATCTGGACGTCGTCGCGTCGGCGATCCTGGACGACGTCGTCGCCTGGTACGAGAACGACGGCGCGCAGTCCTTCGCGAAGCACGTCGTCGCCGCTTCGGCGGAAAAGGTCTACGCGGTCGCGGCCGCGGACGTCGACGGCGACGGCGCGACGGACTTTGTGACCGTCGACGAGGACGCGGACGTCGTGACCTTGTACGCGAACGCGGGCTACGAGGCGGCCCCGGACGCCGTCGTCTTCCGCGTCGACGTCTTGGACGAGTCCGACGGCTACGGCCTCGACGTCGCGGACGTGGACGGCGACGGCGCGCTCGACGTCGTCGTCGCGTCGGCCGACGAGGACGCGATCTACTGGCTGCGCCAGGACGCGCAGCTCCCCTGGGTCCGCTCCGGGGTCGCGAGCGCCGCCGGCGCGCGCGCCGTCGTCGCCGTCGACGTCGACGGCGACGGCGACCTCGACGTCGCCGCGGCGCTCTTCGACGCCGGCGGCGTCGCGTGGTACGAGAACGACTGCGACGCCGCGGCGCCGTCCGCGGCGCCGTCCGCGGCGACGCCCGCGCCGTCCGCGGCGCCGACGGCGTCGCCCGCGCCGACCGCCGCGCCGACGCCGACGCCCGAACCCGCGCCGACGGCGCCGCCGACGCCCGCGCCGACGGCCGCGCCGACGCCGACGCCCGAACCCGCGCCGACGGCGCCGCCGACGCCCGCGCCGACGGCCGCGCCCTCGGCCGCGCCCCGGCCGTCGCCGACGCGCCCGCCGTCGCCCGCGCCGAGCGGCGCGCCGACGTCGGCGCCGAAGCTCACGCTCGTGCCGCCGCTCGTCTTCCTCCACGCGACGAAGGGCGAGGCCCCCGCCGCGGAGTCGTTCTACCTCATCAACGGCTTCAACGAGGCCATCCGCCGCTGCGTCGCCCCGTCGTCCCGCGCGAACCTGACGAACTGGGCCCTGTCGACGGACGACGTCGTCATCGACAGCCTCGCGTCGGGGAACAACATCGCGGAGATCGTGCTCACGGTGGACCCGGCGGGCACGTCGCCGGGCCACTACGACCTCGAGTTCGAGGTCGGCGAGTGCGGCGTCCCCGCCAAGGGCGACCTGGAGTACCTCGCCGTCGGCGTCGACGTGTCGTCGACGGCGACGGCCGCGGACTCGTTCCTGACGGTCAACGCGTCCGCGGCGCCCGTGCTCGGCGACGTCTGGGCGGGCGTCGTCGTCGCGCCGCGCGACGGCGACGGCGACCCGACGGCGGGCGACGCGGTCTTCTCCTGCTACATGTACAAGTGCCCCGCGGGCGACTGCGCGGCCGACGGCGGCGGGTCCGCCGCGGGGTCCTGCTACCTGGACGCGGACCTGCGCTGCGTCTGCGCGCTGCCGGAGAGCGACCTCGCGGGCAACTGGACGGCCCTCGTGTTGCTCGACGGCGACGACGCTGTCGGCGCTGCGGACGTGCGCGTGCACTGCGCCGCAGGATCCTACGAGGACGGCGGCCGGTGCTTCAGGTGCCTCGACGGCGCGGACTGCGGCGACGCGTCGGCGCCGCGGCGCCTCGAGGAGCTCGAGCTGCTGCGGGGCTACTGGCGCGGGTCCGCGGCGTCGACGCGCGTCCGCGCGTGCCTCCGCGAGGACGCGTGCGCGGGCGGTTTCTCGGCGTGCGCCGCGGGCTACGCGGGCGCGCTCTGCGCGTCGTGCGCGCGGGGCTACGCGCCGGGCCGCGGGGCGCGGTCCTGCCGGCGCTGCTCCCTGCGGAGCCGCGCGCGCGCGCTGGCCGTCGTCGCGGGCGTCGCGGGTTCGGCCGTCGCGGCGCTCGCGCTGGTCTGGCGCCGCTGCCGCGCGGACGTCGTCCGGTGGCTCGCGTCGGACCAGCACGAGGGCTACCGGTCCACGGACGTCGCGGCGCTCCGCGTCCAGATCAAGATCTTGTACGTGATGATGTCCGTCGTGAGCGGCCTCGGCGCCGTCATGCCCGCGGTCCGCTTCCCCGCGGGCTTCACGGCCTTCGTCGAGGGCTTCGGCTTTCTACGGTTGGACCTGCCCGCGGCGCTCGCGACGGGCTGCATGGCGCCGACGCCGACGGCCCACGCGAAGCTGGTCTACATGACGCTCGCGCCCATCGTCCTGGGCGGCGCGCTGCTGTCGTGGTACCGGTGGCGCGTCGGCCGCGGCATCTCGGGCCACCGGCCCTTCGTCTACTTTCTGATCCTGACCTACGTCGTCTTCCCGTCGGCCTCCCGCGTCTGCTTCGACGCCTTCAACTGCGACGAGGACTTCGACGGCGGGCGGAGCTACTTGAGGAGCGACTACGGCGTCCGCTGCGACTCCCCGACGCACCGCGCGTTCCTCTGGTACGCGTCGCTCATGATCGCCCTCTGGTCCTTCGGCGTGCCGTCGCTCTACGCCGTGCTCGTCTTCCAGCGGCGCGCGCAGGTGAACCCGTCCGAGGCGTCGCTGCGCGCGCGCTGGATCGACGGGAAGACGGCCGCGGCCGAGGACGAGGGGCCGCGGCGGCCGCGGCGGAAGCGGCTCCGCGAGAGCGGCCTCGCGAACGCGCTCTTCGGCGCGCCGCTGAACGACGGCGCGGCGAAGGCGAAGCTGCGGGCCGAGCGCGAGCGGGCGACGCGGGCCCAGGTCGCCGCGCTCTTCGACATGGCCGACGGCTGCCACCGCCACGAGCTGCCCAAGGAGGACCTGGATCGCCTCGTCACGGAGTTCCGGCGGGCCGCGGCCCACGTCACGCGCACCTTCGACTCCGGCGACCCCCAGGCCGGCGTCGGCGACATCTCGTTCCTCTGGGCGTCGTACCGGCCCCACTGCTACCCCTGGGAGCTCTTCGAGAGCAGCCGGCGCCTCTTCCTCGAGGCCGTGCTCGCCGTCGTCTTCCCGGACTCGGCGCACCAGACCGTCGTCGCCTTCGTCGTGTCGGTCTCGTCGCTCGTCGCGCTGTCGTGGATCCGGCCGTACAACTGCCTCGACTGCAACCGGCTGTCCATCTACGCCTACGGCTTCGTCTGCATCGTGCTGTTCTGCGGGCTGCTCAACGTGGCGGGCCTCGACGGCTCGTCGGCGCGCGCGCGGGGCGACCTCGCGGCGTTCCTCATCCTCTGCAACCTGGGCGCCTTCTGCTTCTTCGTCCACTCCGCGTGGGTCGTCAGCGCGCTGGAGAAGGAGACGATCCACCGCTGGAGGAAGCGGTTCTCCTCCCTGCCGTTCAACCGCCGGCCGACGGCGCCCAAGGACCTCGAGATGACCGCCGGCGAGAACAAGGCGACATGCTGAGCTTGCTGCTCTCGAGCCGCGAGTCGCGGGCCGACGGGACGGCCAGGCGCATCGGCGGCGCGCGCCACTTCGTGTCCTCGCGCGACGGCTACGGCGCCGCGGGGTGCCTCTTCCTGCTCTGCGCGGCGACGGTGTTCTCGCCGCTGACGCTCGCCTACGCGGGCGTCCGCCTCGGCGCGCGCCGGCTCGGCGGCGACGCCGCGGCCGCGGCGACGACGCCCGAGCGGCTCCTCGCGACGCCCGACGTCAGGGCCGACGACGACGAGTACCTCGGCCGCATCGGCGAGATCGAGCGCATCGTCTCGCGCGGCGACGAGGGCCTCGCGGAGCGGCAGAAGCGGCTCGACGCGAAGCTCGACCGCCTCGAGGCCACGGTCGGCGAACGGTTCGCGGAGCTCGCGGCGAAGCTCGACGCCGTCGCGGCGGCGGCCCGACGAGGGGAGGCGGGCACGTAAAGTGGCGCGCTTCAACGTGCCGTCGCCACCGACCTCGGGCCACGCACGAGAGGCATGGCCGCCGCACGCGCCATTCGGTGGTGGTGCTTGCCGGCCGTGGCGTTCGCGCTCGTCGGGCCCGTCCCCGTTGCGCGCCGCGGGCGAATCCGCGTCGCGGCGGCGGCGCCCCCGGAGTCGAGCGATCTGGAGGAGGAGAAGCGCATCCGCGCGGAGCTCGAGTCCTTCAGCTTCCGCCCCGGCGAGGGCCGCAAGTGGGGCAAGCGCCTGTCGCCGGCGCGGGAGAAGCGGCGGCGCAAGCGCCACGCGTCCTTCGAGGAGTCGCAGGCCATCTCCGTCGAGCTCGGCCGCGAGCTCGAGCGCTGCCGGCGGGAGGGGGAACGATTGGGCGACGACGCGCGCGACCTGCTGGACGACCTCATCTCGACGACGTCGGGCGCCCGGGGCTGGTTCGTGGTCCTGCTGACGTCGCCCGAGTTCGGCGCGCTCTTCAGCCCGGCCGTCGAGCCCGCGCTGCTGGAAGCGATCGCGGCGAAGCCGGAGCCGAATTTGAGGCTCTGCGTCATGAACGTCGCCATGTCGGCGGCGACGGCCCTCGCCCACGACGCCCGGGGCCACGCGGACCTCGCCGCGGCGAGCCGCGAGACCGGCGCGCGGTCGTCCGCGCTCGTCGCCGCGTTGCTGGACGACATGGCCGGGCTCCGCGACGCCGTCGCCGCGCTCGCGGCCGCCGCCGGCGACGGCGACGACGACGGCCTCGACGACCTGGAGAAGCTGCTCGCCGGGGAGCCGAACCCGGACCGCGAGTGGCGCGACTTCCTCGACAAGTGGGGCTACGACGGCGAGCAGCGCGCGGAGATCCGCCGGGCCCTGCGGTCGCTCCTCGACGCGGACGACAAGAAGCTCGGCATGGGCACGCCGCTCTGGCCGCCTGTTAAATGACATGCGCTTGCAATGCATCAGGTTAGAAGAGGGACGCGAGGGACGGCGCGTAGGCCGCGACGGCGGCCCGCTTCGCGTAGGTTTCCGCCTCCGCCCGACTTCCGCTCCGCGCAGGCCGCGGCGTCGTCCGCGGCGCTCGCGCGGCGCGCGGCGGCCTCGGGCGCGCGCTGCGCCGCGACGTAGGCGGCCGCGCCGTCCGACGCTCGCGACGCGCAGGCCCGGGCGTCGTCGAGCGCGGCGACGGCGGCCACCGGCGCGTCGTCGTCGTCGTCGTCGTCGGCCGCGAGGGACGCGCGCCGCTCCGCGAGGGCGTCGCGCGTGGGCGACGGCGGCGGCGTCGCCTGCTTCGGGGGCGCACACGTCGCGTCGACGACGGGAGGCGGCGCGCCCTCGGAGAGGCGGCGGCGCGCCTCGAGCTTGTCGCGGAGCTCGTCGTTGCCCACGTGCGCCGGCGGCAGGGGCTTGGGCGACAGGGAGCGGCGCGCGCTCGTCGGCGTGTTCGGCGGCGGCGCGACCGGCGGCGGCGCTTCTAAAGGCGTCGGCGTGTTCGGCGGCGGCGGGGGCGCCGGCGGCGGCGCTTCTAAGGGCGTCGGCGTGTTCGGCGGCGCGCGCGCGCCGGCGCCGGCGTCGGCGGGCGGCGCGGGCGCCGGCGCGGGCGCGAGGATGCCGGGCCCCGCGCTCCGGCTCCGGCGCGGGGGCGACACGTCGTTCGACTCGCGGCTCGCGCCGCGGAGGCGCCGCGCGGGCGTCCGGGGCGTCGCGGGCGCGGCGCCGCCGGGCGGCCGCTGGCTCCGGCTCCGCCGCTTCGCCTTGGGCCGCACGGGCGGCGAGTCCGTCGCGGCGCGGCGGCCCAGGGCCTCCGTGTCCAGCGGCGGCGGCCGCCGCCGCTCGGGCGGCGGGTCCCCGCCGTAGAGGCTTTCGAGCGCGCTCTGGAGGTACGTCGGTTCGCCGCTTCCGGCCGTCGCGGCGCCCGGGCCGGCCTGCTTGCGGACGCGCGTCCCCGGCGGCGAGTGCGGCGGCCCGGGCTCGAACTCGAGCGTCGCCTGCCGCGGGTCCAGGAGGCCGCGGGTCTCCTCGGCGCTGCAGCAGAGGAAGAAGGACGCGAGCTCCGACCCGTCGAGCGCCGGGAAGAGGCCCTCGGGCTCGGGCTCCGGCGGCGGCGGCGGGTCGCAGCTCTCGCCGCTCGCCTTCTTGAACCGCCACGTCGGGGCCGCCATGGCTCGGGGCTGCCCGGGCACGCGAACACCCTGTCCACGAGTTGTCCAGCCCCGAAGGTTTATCGAGGGCACGGTTGTCCTTCAAGGTGTCCTTCACCGTGAGACCTTTATTCGTCCGCGGCGCCGACGCAGAGCGCGCGCTGGTTCCGGGCCTCCGCCGCCCGCGCCGCCGCGGCCGCGGAGAGGGAGGCGCCGCGCTTCGGCGCCGCGGTGCCCAGGAGCACGTCCCAGAGCATCGAGCTCCCGAAGTTCCAGTTGAACCTCGTGTGGTGGTCCCAGTGGTGCCGGTCCAGGGGCCCGTAGCCGAGGTGCGCGGGGATGGGGTTCACGACCATGGCGATCGAGATGAGGTTCGTCACCCAGAGCGGCGCGCCCGGCAGCAGGAGCGCGGAGAAGTAGAGCAGGTGCTCGAGCGGGTGCATCGACAGGCCCGAGAACGGGTCGACGTTGTGGCTCCTGTGGTGCGTCTTGTGGATCGCGCGGAAGAGCGCCGGCGTGTGCAGGAGCCGGTGGGTCGCGTAGAAATGCAAGTCGGCCCAGAGCGCGACGACCGCGGCGCCCGCGGCGAGGCGCGGCCCCGGCGGGACGGCCGCGGCCCCGGCGCCGCGGGCGCGCGCCGCGACGGCGACCTGCATGGCCGCGAGGACGGCGATGCCCCCGGCGCTGCGCAGGGCCTCGCCCGCGACGAAGCGCCACCCGGGGACCCGCGGGTCGTACTTGGCCGCGCGACCTCGCGCGAAGCACCGCGCGCCGCGGTAGACGCAAAACGCGAGGCCGTAGCTCGAGAGCCAGAGGCCGCCACAGGCCGCGAGGCGCGCGACGAAATCCGCCTCCCAGGACGCCGGGAACAGCGCCTCGACGAGCGTGCCCCGCGCGGCGTGCCACGCGGCCCAGGGCAGCAAAAAGGGGAAGAGGGCGACGAGCCAGAGGCCGTACTCGACGGCGAAGGACGCGTCGAGCGACGCGACGCGGAAGGTCGCCGGCAGCACGCTCGCGCCGGCGGCCTCCGTCGGCGTCGTCGTCGAGCGCTTGGGGCCCGCAGCCCCGATCGAAGAAGATCGAGCCTCGCTGACCTTCAAATTGGGACTTCAAGTTGGCTCGAGAAAAAAAACTTAGGCCGACTCCTCCTCCGGCACTTCCTCCGGCGCGTCGGCGAGGTGCTCGGCGATCCAGCGCATGGCGCCCGCGATCTTGGCAATGTCGGCGGGCTCGGCGACGTAGGGCGGCATGGTGTAGAGGTTCCGGCCGAAGGGCCGGAGCCAGACGCCGAGGTCGACGCAGGCCGCGGACACGGCCGCGGCGTCGAGGGGCCGGTGGAGCTCGACGACGCCGATGGCGCCGAGGACGCGCACGTCGGCGACGGCCGGGAGCGCCGCCGCCGGCGCGAGCTCGGCCGCGAGCTGGGCCTCGATGGCGTCGACGCGCGCCCGCCTGGGCAGGACAAGAGTGCGAAATTCCCAACTTCAAAGGCTCCTAGCTCGGCCGGTTTCCACTCGTTTCGGCTGATTTTTGGACGAGCGATCATCTCTCGGAACGGTCTCGAAGCGTGGATGCTTTTTCCAGAACGCGCGCGCGCGGAACACTCACGTTGAAGCGACGTTGAATCACTCTTGTCCTGCCCTGGCGCCCGCCACCAGGGCGCGCCGGCCGCGTCGGGCCGGAAGAGGAGCGACAGCGACGCGCCGGCGATGGCGCAGGCCAGGGGGTTCGCCATGAAGGTCGGCCCGTGCATGAGGGGCAGCGGCGGCCCGCCCGCGGGCGCCGCGGACACGCCCGCGGCGACCTCCGCCGTCGCGAGCGTCGCTCCGAGCGTGCAGTAGCCGCCCGTGAGCGCCTTGCCGACGCACATGATGTCGGGCGCCACGCCCGCCCGGTCGCAGGCGAAGGCGTGGCCCCGGCCCGCGCGCCCGAAGCCCGTCGCGATCTCGTCGGCGACGAACAGGACGTCGTGCGTCTCGCAGACGGCCTTGGCGCCGCGGAGGTACGCCGGGTCGTAGAAGAACATGCCGCCGGCGCCCTGGACCAGGGGCTCCAGGATCAACGCGCCGACCTCGTCGGCGTGCGCCCCGATTAGGGCGTCCAGCGCCGCGACCGCGCCGTCGACCGCCGCGACCGGCGACCCCGCGGCCGGGGGCCGCGGCGCGTGGAGCTGCGCGGCGACGGCGCCCCCGAAGGCGGCGTGCATGCCCGTGTCCGGGTCGCAGACGGCCATGGCCCCGAAGGTGTCGCCGTGGTAGCCGCCGCGGAGCGCGACGACGCGCGTCCTCGCCGGCCGGCCGCGGCCGCGCCAGTACTGCGCGGCCATCTTCAACGCGACCTCGACGGCCACGGACCCGCTGTCGCAGAGGAAGACCTTCTCGAGGCCCGCCGGCGCGACGTCCACGAGCGCGTCGCCGAGGGCCACGGCGGGCCGGTGCGTCAGGCCGCCGAACATGACGTGCGACATCCGCGAGAGCTGGTCGTGGGCGGCGCCGTCGAGCTCCGGCACGCCGTAGCCGTGGACGCAGGCCCACCAGCTGCTCATGCCGTCGACGAGCCTCGCGCCGCACTCGAGCTCCAACGTGACGCCCGACGCGCGCGCCACGGCGAGCGCCGGCGCGGGCGCCGCCATGGACGTGTAGGGGTGCCACAAAGTCCGCTTGTCCGCGGCGACGTGGGCGTCGACGCCCCGGGACCAGGCGCGCGCGACCGCCGGGTGCTCGTAGGGCGGCGGCTCCTGGAGCAGCGACGACGACGACGCGCGGCGGCGCGCCAGGCGCGGCGGGCGGGCCGGGATGCGACGCATGGAGCGCAACATCGCAGAAATCGAGATTCTCGAAGTGTGCAAGTGCGGTGCAAGGGCGGCGCAGCGCATGGCTTCGCAGTCGGGTAGCCTTCGGGTGGTCCTGGGGTGGTCGCAGCCTTCACCTCAAGAGGACGCGCGCCCCGGGAGTTCTTCGCGTGTCGTGATGTAACAGGGGAGGGTCGCATTCTTGGGTGCGGGGGCGGGGGTGGACACGCGTGGGGGCGGGGGGAGGGGAACGGGAGCCGCCGCGTCAGGCCTCGCCGTCGCCTTCGGCGAAGTCCGGCGGCCGGTCGCTCGCCCGCGGCGTCGGCGCGTCGGAGAAGGAGACGCTGCTGCTGCCGCCGAGGGCGCGTTTGCGCTCGCGCGCGACGGGGTCGTGGGCCGTGTAGTGGTCGTCCAGCCGCGGCGGCCGGGCGAGGCCCCACCGCGAGAGCCAGCGCCGCGCGAGCTTCTTCGCGGATTGGATCGCCTTCTTCTCGCGGCGGACCTCGTAGATCATCATGTAGGTGATCGTCCCGAGGCCCGCGAGGAGGCTCGCCATGAGCGCGACGTCGATGACCAGCTTGTTGAGCTCGCAGGTCATGATGAGCGCGGAGACGAAGAGCCAGACGAAGACCCAGTGGAAGATCTCCGTGAGGTCGTTGTCCGTGACGTCCATGTAGGGCTCGTAGTAGGTGAAGACCTTGAGGGAGAGCAGGACGACGATGATGGCGAAGATGATGTTCATCTGCGTCCCCGGGTACACGAGCTCGGTGATGCACGTCAGCAGGAGCCGCTGGACGACGACCGCGACCTCGAAGTGCCAGAGCTCGTACTTGTAGGCGAGCCAGAGCATCTTGTACTGCTCGACGACGAGGTCCGCCTCCGTGACGACCTTCGTGCGCGCGTTGAACTCGGCCTTGTCCATCTTCTCGATGTACGCGCCGTAGGGGTTCACGCGGTAGCGCACCCGGTACATGAGGCCGAAGAAGAGGAGCGGCGTGCCGACGGGCCAGACGACGACCATGAGCGCGGCGAAGATCTGGTGCGTCGCGTAGCGCGCGCCGCCGCAGCGCAGCTTCAGGTCCGCGAGCAGGTACGTGTGGCCGTCGCCCCAGCCGCCCTCGCAGCGCCAGAACGCGAGCGCCGTCGCCGAGCACGCCGGGAAGACGAAGAACCAGACGAAGACGACGCCCGCGACGTAGGAGAACTTGAGGCCGGCCTTCATCTCGCTCTGGCGCCGCGCCTCCGGCGTCGCGCACTCGGCCACGCCCAGCGCCGACGTGTCCTGTCTTTGCAAGCTGTCGCGGCGCTGCGCCGTCCGCCGCGTGTACTTGTTCGCGACGAAGGCGAAGACGAAGTACGCGAAGACGAGCACGATCGGTCCGAGGCACGTCGCGTAGAGCGAGGTGTAGTAGGACGTCTCGCGCAGGCAGTCCACGGGCAGGATGGCGGAGAAGTCGAGCATGAAGATGCGGAAGAATTTGAGCAGCGCCTCGAACGCCGGCGGCCACGGCAGGTCGAAGGACGACGTCGTCGACGAGACGATCTGCATGGCCGTGACGCCCATGCGCCACTTGATCTTGAGGCGGTAGTAGAGGATGACCATGGCGTCGCTGATGGACCGCTTGAGGTTGTTCAGGCCGTTCGTGAGCACGTAGTCCCTGAAGGCCGCGACGGGGTTCTCCGACTCGTGGATCGACCGCGCGTCCGGGTCGCTCTCGAGGACCTCCCGGAGCGACGCGCCCTTCTTGAGGCCGTCCGCGAGGCCGCGGAAGATGTCGAGCTGGAGCGACCGCAGCGACATGCCGCGGTTGTGCTTCGGTCGAGGCGTCGCGTCGGGCACGCGCCGCGCCGACACGGCGTGCTTCGAAAGCGCGGGCGAGCCCGCCGTCGTCGAGTCCCCGCCGCCGGCGCTCGGGGACGCGTCCTCGCCGACGGACTGCGACGACGCGAGCGTGATCTTCGTCTCCGTCGTGCCGCTCACCCTGAGGCCCTTGGACACGGTGTGGCGCTCCGCGGGGCTCAGGGGCCGCTGGCCCGCGAAGGCGGCGTCCGCCGGGTGCGGCAGGATCTCCGACACCGTCTTGTCGACGAGCGGGACGTCCGCGACGGCCATGGCCTTGAAGAGCTTCTTCTTGACGTCCTCGACGGACGTCGGCACGCGGGAGAAGAAGGCCGTGACGGCGAAGACGAGCACGGCCACGACGACGAGGACGACGATCGTGATCGTCTCGCGGAGTTTGCCCGTCTTTTTGCAGCGCGTGCAGATCATGCCCGGCACGACGAGGTGGTAGGCCTTGCGCTTCTTGAGCATCTCGCGGCCCTTGTCCTCGTCCCAGCAGCGCGCGCACGCGCGGCCGAAGTAGCCCTTGGCGCAGAGGTCGTCGCCGCTCTCCGTGCAGTTCGCCGCGAGGCCGGCCGCCATCCGCTCCTCGCAGTACTTGCCTCCGTCGCACGCGCCCGGCCAGGGGCACGGCTTGATCGCCGTGTCGACATTGAGGTGCCGGTAGAAATTCTTCTTCACGTCGACGGTCTCGATGACGGTCCCCTGCGGGCAGTCGGCCTCGGACGACCCGAACTCGTCGGCGCAGTCCACGCAGAGGCCGTCGGGCCGGCCGCGGCGGTCGCCGCCGGGCCGGCACCAGCCCTCCGGGAGCAGGCCGGTGCCGCCGCAGTCCTCCGGGAGCGGGTCGCTGAAGGGCTCGTAGTAGTAGTCCTCGAGGCAGATGTCGCAGACCGTCGAACCGGGGTCCGAGTAGTAGCCGCCGGGCACGACGTCGCACGCCGAGCACGAGAACGAGGTCGCGTTCTCGCTGTACGTGCCCGCGGGGCAGGGCAGGCACGCGACGGCGCCCGTGAAGGGGTGCGTGCCGATGCCGTCCGTGTCCCGGGGGTCGTCCGTCGCGTAGGAGCCCGCGGCGCAGGGCTCGCACTTGTGCGAGCCGGCGTCGGGCGCGTAGTAGCCGACGTCGCAGGGCTGGCACGTCCGCAGGCCATCGGCGAGCTGCGCCTCGCTCAGCTCAGAGCCCGGCGGGCAGGGCGTGCAGCCCAGGTAGGTGCCGTCGGCCTCGTCGAGGAACGAGCCCGCGGCGCAGCCCGTGGGCTCGCAGGAGCAGTCGCACGCGCCCTCGCCCTGCGCGCCGCCGCAGTAGCACTCGCCGTCCACGCAGACGCCCCCGAGGTCGAGGCAGAGGTCCGAGCTCGGGCACCGGTCCACGGCGTACCAGTGGAGCTTTAGCCCGGCGAAGGCCGGCGACCCGCCCGCGCCGATGTCGTTGCGGTCCGACGCGAAGCCGATCCGCAGGTCGTCCTCCGTGTCCAGCTCCCAGGTCCGCTTCACCGCGCAGTACTTGAACCCCGGCGCGCGGTCGTCGTCGACGCAGGCGCCCGACATCCATTTCTCGTCGCACTCGTAGTCGGCCCGGCAGCGCAGGAGCGACAGAGGGCCCGCGACGACGGCGCCGTCGGGCCGCGACACGGTCACGGCGTCGTACGTCCCGCCCGCGGTCTTCTCGAAGCGCTCCACGTCGAACGCGTCGAAGTAGAGGCGCGTGCCCGCGCGCTCGTTCGTCGGGTCCGCGAGCCCGGCCGACCAGGCGCAGTCCGCGTTCCGCGGCACCGCCTCGACGCCCGGCGGCTGCGAATACGCGATGCCCCGGGCGGCGGCGACGTAGGGGTTCGACGGGAGGCAGAAGTCCAGGCTGCAGGCGTAGCCCGCCCAGCCGTCCTCGCAGTCGCAGGTCCCGGCGACGCAGTCGCCGCGGACGCAGTCGCCGTCGGACGCGCACGCGGCCGGCGCGACGGTCCACTCGGCGACGAAGCCGCTGCGCTGCCCGAAGTCGTCGGAGTCGAAGCTGAGCGTCGCGAGGCCGTCGCCGTCGACGGGCACGGCGACGACGGCGGCGCCCCGGCCCGTGAGCGCGACGTCGCTGCCCGCGGCGCCCGCGATCGTGACGTAGTCGTACGAGTCCTCGACGTCGTACTCCACGTCGAAGCGGACCCAGTCCCCCGGCGACGCCCGGACGGCGAAGCGGCAGGCGCTCCGCGCGCCGTAGGCCGCGCCGCTCTCCAGGGCGTCGGCGCCGGACTTGAAGGTGCCCGTTTGCGCGTCCGACGGCGGTACGTGGCCGAGGCAGTGCTCGGAGAAGGAGCAGTCGCCGCCGAAGTAGCCCGCGTCGCAGACGCAGAGGCCGTCGCCGCCGCAGGCGCCGTGGCCGCCGCAGGCGCCGCAGGGCGGCGCGTCGGCGTCGTAGGCGAAGCTCACGCCGTCCGCGAAGTCCTTGCCGTACGCGCCGTCGTCGAGGCCGTCGGTCTCGAAGAGCACCGTGATCGTGCCCGGGTAGCGAAACACGGGCCAGGCCTTGGCGCCGAGGCCGCTGAGCCGCGCGAGGAGCACGCCCGTCGCCGCGTCGCCGCCGTAGACGGAGACCGCGTCGCCGGCCCAGACTTTGAGAACGTCGAAGTCGACTTGAGCGACGCCGGAGCCCGATATGGTCCAGGAGCAGGCGAGGCCGTTGCTGTAGCTCGTGCCCGGCCGGCCGCCGGCGCCGTCGTCGGCGGTGCCCGAACCGGCCAGCGTCGCCGCGCCGCAGGTCGAGTCGCCCCGGTTCGCCGAGCCCGCTGTCGCCGGCGCGACGGGCTTCCCGAGCGCCACGAGCTCGTCGAGCGTCGGCGCGGCCGCGAGGCCGTTCAGCAGGAACGTCGGGTCGACGTTGGACGCGTAGAAGGCCGCGCTGGAGAGGTCCGAGCTCGACGGCACCGGCGCCGTGAGCTCCTTCATGTCGAAGTTGAACTCCGCGTGCGCTTCTATCGTCGGCCCGAAGCCGGCGTCGCAGCCCGAGCCGTCGCCGAGGAAGTCGCAGGTGAGCTGCGTCGCCGGCGGGCGGAAGAGGTAGTTCTTCTCCATTTTTGTTTTGAAGTCGAGACGCGTTTCGGCGTCGTTGACGCCCGCGTGCGCCAACGCGATGGACGCGAGCAGCGACTCCTCCGACGCCGGGTCCCACAAGGCCGCGTCCGCCGAGTCGCAGACGCCCCTCTGGTCGTCGAAGGCCGCGTCGAGGCGGCCGTAGACGCCCGCGAAGCGCTCGACCAGATCCGGCCGCCGCTCCAGGAACCGCCGCGAGACGACGCAGACCATGGACGTGGGCTTGCCCCAGACCTCGTAGAGCCCCGAACTCAGCATTTGGAAGCCGCCGTTGTCGATGATGTGGTTCTTCGCGTCGACGCCCGCGTCCCAGATGAACGCGCCGTCGATGGCCCCCGCGTCGTACCGCTCGATGATCTCGCCGGGCTGCAGGTTCACCTGCGTGAAGGACACGGACGGATTCAGCGTCGCCGTGTAGGCGAGGTGGTAGTGCGTCGTCGACCCGAAGGGCACGCCCACGGTCTTGCCCTCGAGGTCGAGCGGCGACTCGACGCCGTCCCGCCGCATGACCAACGCCTCCGAGTCGCCGATGACGTACTGGACGTAGAAGCTCGTCGCGGCGACGCCTCTGGCGGCACCGACGGCGAAGGGGTTCGACCCGAGGAAGGCGATGTCTAAATCGCCCTGGTCGAGCTTCGCGTTGACCCAGTAGCCGGACTGCTGGTTGAAAAACGCAAAGTCGTCGTCCGCGGTGTCGAACCACTCGCGCGCGATACCCGCCACGAACGGCTGGGGCTCGGAGAAGTAGCCCACGCGCACCGTCTCGGCCCGCCCGAACCCGGCCAAACCGGCGCCGAGGAGCGCGACGACGACGCGGTTCATGGTCGAACAGTGCTCGTCGTTTCTTCGGTCGCCTGCTCCTTCCGTCGGCGGGGCGTCGGTCGCGAGGCGCGCTCGGTGGTGGCTCGGAGGTGGCTCGCGCGCGCCCTCCGCCTCGGGGCGCGTCCGGGCGTGCGCAAGGTCAAAAGGCGGCGCGCCTAACTTTCGCCGCCTCGTGGCCTCGAAAGCCTCTCGAACGCCTCCTCCACAACGGCGCGACCTGCGCCAGTGAAGTGATCAACGTACATCTAGGTGCACCCATAGGAATAATTGATAATTAATTAATAATCCAAGACGGGCCGGCGGCGCGAGATTCATTAGTCGTCCATAGAGGCTGTGCATCGACCGCGCGCGCGTCGACCGTGCGCGCGTCGATCGAATGTCTTACACGAATCACGAGTGCGAAGAGGGATCATCGAGGCGCATTCGCGTCTCGGGTCGGCGGCGGGCTACTTGGGATCCTGCCCTTGCACTTCTCCTTGGCCTTGCCTACTACTTGGAATCCTTGCCCTCGCACTTCTCCTTGGCCTTGCCTTTCTTGCCCTTACACTTTTTGCACTTCTTCTTCTCCTTGCCCTTCATGCCCTTACAGCTCTTCTTGTCCTCCGCGCCCTCCGTGCCCTCGCCCTCCAGAGGAGCCAGGATCTCGTCCTCGGCCTCGTCCTCGGCCTCGTCCTCCGCCTCATCCTCGGCCTCGTCTTCGGCCTCGTCCTCGGCCTCGTCCTCCGCCTCGTCCTCCGTGCCCTCGCCCTCGTCCTCGGCCTCGTCCTCGGCCTCGTCCTCCGCCTCATCCTCGGCCTCGTCTTCGGCCTCGTCCTCGGCCTCGTCCTCCGCCTCGTCCTCCGTGCCCTCGCCCTCGTCCTCGCCCTCGTCCTCGGCCTCGTCCTCGGCCTCGTCCTCCGCCTCATCCTCGGCCTCGTCTTCGGCCTCGTCCTCGGCCTCGTCCTCCGCCTCCTCCGCGTCCGGGACCTTGACGCAGGCCTCGTCGGCCCAGACGCACTTTTTGCCGGCTTTGAGAGCGAGGCAGTCGGCCTCCGTGGAGCCCTTCTTCTCGCAGTACTTCTTCCCGGCGTGAATGGGGTTGATGCTCAGGAGCACCACGGCCGCGAGGCGGAGGATGCTCTTCATGGTGGACCTGCGTCGAACGCTTACGCTCGCCGATCCGATCGCGCGCCGCGGCAGGGGGAGGGCGGAGCGTTGGGCTCCAGGGCGTCGCCCGGACCCCTGGGCGTTCCTTCCCGCGCGCCCGGGAGTCTGTGGGCCTTGCCCGGCGTCGACCAGGCGATGCGCCGAAGCGGCGAACTTTGTTTGTTCTCACGAAGCGGTCGACGTCGTTTGGGACCGCGATTTTTCCCCCAGGGGTGCGGAGGGCGTCGAGTGGTCGCGGGGGGGGGGGGGGGGGGTCGCGAGTGCGTTGAATGCGTGGACGCGGCGCGGCACGGCGAAGAACTTCGCAAGCGCTTGCGTCGCAGGTGGTGATGATCGCCCGGCAAATTCCGGAAAATGCGCCTTGCAGCGCAAAGTCAATGGTGACGCAGCAGAGGCGTCAGCAGGAAAAGGCGCCTCCGTTCCTCTCGCCCTGTACTCACCTCAGAGCCCACAAACGTCAAAGCACCCCAGAAGAGCAGCTCCAGCACAAGCGTCCAGCGCGCGGCCGCGATCGATCGCGCGATCGCGCGGCCGCGTCCTCGCGGGACGTCGCGGCGACGGCGGCTGCCCGGGACCGTACCGGGAAGAGAAACGAGGCAACTGCCGGCCCCGACGCTGGCCTGAGGGCCGCCGAGCCTCCGGCGCGAGAGGCCGGCCTACTGCACTGGCAACCGCTGGCCTTTCAACATTGAGGCCTTCGTTGAACCACCCCAGACGTATGCTGGGGTGCTCCGAGCAGCACTATTGAGCCCTCCGCGTGCGCCTCCGTCGCCATCATGCTGCTCCACGTCGTCGGCGGTCTCCTCATGTTAAGCGTGCGCACAACAACATTCACGCTGCGGCCGTCGAAGCTCCCGACGACCGCCTGCCGCGCGGCGGCGACCAGCGACACAGACACGCCGCAGCGCAAGGTCGCGCTCCTCGTGGAGCCGACGCCGTTCACGCACGTGAGCGGCTACGCGAACCGCTTCCAGGAGATGCTCAAGCACCTCGAGCGCCGCGGCGACGTCGTGGCCGTCGCGACGCCCGACGACGTGCCCGAGGCGCCCGCGTCCTTTGGCAAATTCGCCGTGACGACGCTCGGCGGCTTCCGCTTCCGGCCCTGGTACCCGGAGATCTGCCTGAGTCTGGATCTGGACGGCGCGGCGCTCCAGATGATCCGGGACCTGGACCCGGACGTCGTGCACGCGTCGAGCCCGGGCTTCCTCGCCGTCGCGGCGCTACGCAGGGCAGGACAAGGGTGATTCAACGTCGCTTCAACGTGAGTGTTCCGCGCGCGCGCGTTCCGGAAAAAGCATCCACGCGTCGAGAGCGCTCCGAGGGATGATCGCTCGTCCCAAAATCAGCCGAAACGAGCGGAAAACGACCGAGATAGGAGCCTCAAAAGTTGGGAATTTCGCACCCTTTTCCTGCCCAGGCGACGCGCTACGCCAGGGCGGAGCGCAAGCCGTTATTACTCTCCTACCACACGCACATCCCCGTCTACGTGCGCAAGTACGCGTCGTGGGTGCCGTTCATCGAAAAGACGACGTGGGCGCTGCTCCGCGCGGTGCACAACCGCGCGGACCTGACCATCGCGACGAGCCCGCAGATCCGCGACGAGCTCCTGGCCAACGGCATCGAGCGCGTCGGCGTCTGGAACAAGGGCATCGACACGGACCGCTTCCACCCCAAGTTCCGGTCCGACGCCGCGCGCGCGAGGATGACGTCCGGCCACCCCGGGGACAAGCTCGCGGTCTACGTGGGCCGCCTCGGCGTCGAGAAGCGCATCGACGAGCTCCGGGGCGTGCTCGAGGCCATCCCGGAGCTGCGCCTCGCGCTCGTCGGCGCCGGGCCCGCGGAGCCCGGCCTCCGCGAGACCTTCGCGGACGTGGCGGACCGCGTCGTCTTCACGGGCCTCCTCCGGGGCGACGAGCTCTCGGCGGCCTTCGCGAGCGCGGACGTCTTCCTCATGCCCAGCGACTCGGAGACGCTCGGCTTCGTCGTCCTCGAGTCCATGGCGTCGGGCGTGCCCGTCGTCGGCTGCCGCGCGGGCGGCATCCCGAACCTCATCGACGACGGCGCGACGGGCCGCCTCCACGCCGTCGGCGACGTCGCCGAGATCGCCGAGCTCACGCGGGGCCTGCTGGACGACGCGCCGAAGCGCGACGCCATGGGCGCGGCCGCGCGCGCGGAGGCGGAGCGCTGGGACTGGGCCTCGAGCGGCGAGACGCTCCGCGCGGACTCGTACGGCGCGGCCATCCGCAACTTCGCCGCGCGCGACGACTAGGGCGCGCTAGAGATGAAAGGCCGCGGCGTAGGGGCACCGCGTCGCCGGGGGCGCGCCGCCCTCCGCGGCGACCGCGGCGCGCGCGAGCGCGAGCGCGTCCCCCGCCGCGGGCGACGCGCGGGCCTCGAGGGCGACCGCGTCGCGGAGCCGGCGGCGCTTCAGGAGCAACGACACGGCGACGTCCGCGGCCGCGGCGTCGCCCACGGACGCGAGGAACGTCGCGAGCGCGACCTCGTCGAGGTACGTCGCCGGGAGCGCCGCGAGCGCGTCGCGGCGCCCGCCGGCCCAGAGCGATGCGTAGACGGCGATCTTCGCCGCTTCGACGGCGGCGGCGCCGGCGCCCTCGACGGCGCGGAGCTCCGCGAGCGCCTCCGCCGCGTCGCCCGCGCGCCGCGCCGCGTCCGCGCGCGCGACCGCGAAGGCGACGGCGCCTTCGGCATCGCCGTCGTCGAGCGCGGCGACGCAGGAGCGCGCGCGCGCGGGCGCGAGGCGCGCGAGGCGCGCGACGCGCGACGCGCAGGCGACGCGGAGCGCCGCGCCGTCCTCGCGCGTCGACCGCTTCGCGAGGGACGCCACCGCGAAGGCGAGCGCCGCGGCGCGCGCGTCGGAGGAGATCTTCTCATACTCTAAGCCGTCGGCGAGGTCCAGCGCCCAGAGCGACGAGGCCCGTTCGCGCGACGCGCCGTCGAGGCGGAGCGCGGCGCCGAGGCCCGCGACGGCGGCGAGGCCGCGGCCGACGGCGAGGCCGCGGCCGACGGCGTCGTCGTCGGCCAAACGAAAGGCGACGTCGCCCGCCGCGTAGCACAGCGCGCCTAGACGGTCCTCGAGCGCGGCGTCGTCGAGATCGTCGCCGAGGACCAGGAGCCCGCGCGGCGCGAGCGCGGGGTGCTTCGCGGCGCCGAGGAACCCGAGGAGCGGCGCGCCGGGCGCCGCCGCGGCCTCGCGCGCCGCGTAGCGCGCCGCGAGCCACGCCGCGGCGGCGTCGTCGCGCGCGCGGAGCCCGCCGTCGCCGCGCGCGGCCCAGGACAGCGCGCGCGCGGACGCGGCGACGCGCGTCGCCGCGCGCCGGCCCGCCTCCGCGCCGTCGCGCGACTTCGCCGCGGCGGCCGCGGCGGCCGCGGCGTCGGCGCCCGCGCCCGCGGCGAGGCTCC